GGGGGGGGGGGGGGGGGGGGGTCCTACCATGTAAACATGCCACTTCTCCTTCAACACCTTAACTTGCGACTCGGTCAAACCCGTGAAACTGAACATGCCAATCTGATCCGTAATGTGGTTCCAAGTGCCCGGCGTGCCCTTCTTCTCCAAGCGCTCCCTCAGGCCCTTGCGCATCTCCGCAATGCGACCACTCATCGTCTTCAGATCCTCCTCCCACTCCTTGAACAGTCCCTCATCATTCAACACCCGGCTAGCGATACGCGCGCCATATGCCGGCGGGTTACTGATCTCACTGCGCTGCAGAATAGCCAGCTGCGACGCGACATGCGCATTAGCCTGGCTGGCCTCCGCACCGGGTGCGGAAACGAAATGGAATGCGCCCGTGCGCTGGCCATACAGACCAAAGTTCTTAGCGAAGGATTGGGCCACGCACAGCTCGAAGCCCTGCTCGACGAAGTAGCGCACGGCCCAGGAGTCGCGAATGAGATCACCAGAGGCGAAACCCTGGTAGGCGCAGTCAAAGAAGGGGAAATGGTTGCGCTCGCGCATGACGACGGCGACGTCCTTCCATTGGGACTGGGTCAGATCGACGCCGGTGGGGTTGTGGGCGCAGACGTGCAGGAGGATGATGGAGCCGGTGGGAGCATCGCGCAGGGCGGAGAGCATGCCGGAGAAGTTGAGGCCTTTGGTTTGCGGGTCGAAGTAGGGGTAGTTGGCGAGGGAGAGGTTGACGTTGGTGAAGATTTGGTTGTGGTTGGCCCAGGTTGGGTTGGAGAGGTAGACGGTGGGTTTAGGGTTGGAGGGGTGGAATTTGGAGAGGAAGAGAGCGCCCAGGTGCACGGCACCGGTGCCGGAGATGGTTTGAAAGGTGCATACCTAGGTGATGTTAGACCGGTAGAATTCAAAAGATGGAAGGGGATGGCTTACGCGGTTCTCGCGAATGGCAGGGCTATCAGCGCCAATGATCAATTTCTGGGCGGCAGTGGTGTAGTCGGCGAGACCTTTGATGGGGAGGTATTCGTGATTGAGGGCGGGGTCATTGCGAACGAGCTCGTCAGCCTGTCAGAGTTTAGTTAGTTGGATGCTGCGGGGATGGAAATAATGATGTGCAGGTGGGGAATTGAGGGGTATGGAGTTTACCTTCTTGACAACGGGCAGGATCCAGGGTTTGGCATTGTCGTCGCGATAAGCGCCAATGACTAGGTCAACCTTCTTGTCGGAGGAATCCTGGCGAAACGCCTGAGCCAGACCGAAGAGAGCATCTTCTGGCGCGGCGGGCACGACGGCGGTGGAAAAGACGGAGGGGGTGGTAGAGCCCATGATGTGGGAGGAGAGAGAAGCGAGACGGGAACGAGCGGTAGAAGTAGAAGTAGAAGCGATGGAGGAGGAGGCGGATGGAGAGGATGAAGAAGAAGTGAGGGAGAGAGAAGAAGATGGAGAAGAAGAAGAGGAAAGGGGCGACATGATGTATTGGAAGGTTGAGGATGTGTCACACCACCTGATTCCCTCAAGTCACTGCTGCTTGCGTTCACCGGCGCCAATAAAATGAACTGACCGAAACAGATAAATCCCGATGGACACACCGGACCAGGCAGATGCAGGGAAAAAGTAAAGGAGGGGACGGAGTAAAGATGGACACGGTCGGGGATAGCTTCGGAGGAGGGAGTACGGGGTACATGAGGCGATCGACTAGATTTATAGTCTGAATGTTATTGATCTTGAGACCGAGACAAAAGTGAGAGTTGGAGATGAGCCGAGGATGTGGGAGAGTTGAGTTCGTTGGCTGGCCCGATGAGCTGAGCAGATGATGACGCATTCACATGAACTGTTACAGAGTTTGGTATTTAGAGCTGGTTATCTACTCTATCGCTATCCTATCTCTCTGGCGATAAAATGAAGATACATTTCCAGCTATACAATTATCATCATCATCCTCAATGCGATTCCGATGTTGGCGGACAGAATTGCCCGAGCTGGCCTGACATCATCATATGACAGATCCACTCCGAGCAGAACAATAGCATTTTACTCCCTCGACTAGATATCCCAAATATCCCTCATCTCTCCGATTCTTCTTCTTCTTTTACTTCATAGGGGAAACAATAAGTATAATACTTCCCACTCGAGTAATTCCATCCACCGTCCCTCACTTAGTACTGAGCTAAGTACGTACTTATGCCTATCTAAAACGCGGCATTAACCACCAATCACGACCAACTGTTACTCATACAGCCGACGCCAGCCGCATTCAGCCAAAATCACTCACTTTCTGACTAACAACAACAATGGGAAAGTCTAGTTTGTTCTTTTTCCCCGCCCGACCGTCTGTTGTTAATTCACTTCAGAAAACAAACTGGTCACATTTATTGATGAAAACATTCTTAGTGTTGATAGTCTCAATGGATGAGGATATATCCTTATCCAGATATCTATTATCCACTCCATAAGATCAACCTACAGGATATTTAAAAAAAGAAAGAATCCGGAAAAGCATTCCACCCAGAACAAAAGGATGATCGCTTACCCCACGGGGTGCAATCGGGACAGCTCCCCTACGAAGCTCGCCGGATTCCGGAATCCGATTTGCATGTCGTGCTCGTTACTTGTTGTGTGGAATTGGGATCGCCGCATTTCGTCACGGTAAAAGACTTAGTAAACTGAATACTTGGTTTTGCAATTGGCATGAGATTCCGAGGTTGGGGGCTTACTTTGTTTCCTAACTAGTTCGTTTATGGGGTACTGTAGACTTAAGTTACTACAATCTCGCGAATACTACTTGACTAATTTGACGAATCTAGACCATAGAACAGTCGGATTCCTTGTCCTAATTGAGTAAGTACATCTACACTGCTGAGTAGAATACATATCTACACGGCTTCGGGTATGTGCCTGTTCACTGGTCATTTCCAGATAAACCATCGGTCCTATATACACAATTTTCCCCGGTGCAAGTTCCCGTTCTTCTTAACGCCATGTATCGCCAATCTCGCCATATAAACAAACATCATGATATGATCGTCACCATCATCAAGCCAAATCATTCATGTAAATCATAAGCCATATATCCCAGGTCACAGAAACCAAAAGGGGAGTTAGCCGGCAGCCAGGCCGCTCATATATCCATACCATCGGCTCCATACATAACCCTCCCCATTTCTCATCTCAAATATAGCACAGGAAGACTCAATGCTCCGAATCACGCCAGCATGCACGTAGAAATGAGTAATGCAAAAGAAGAATCATAAGAAAAGAGAAGAATCATGCAGGCGGCGCGTCAGTCGATGGTGACGGTTCTGCCACCTCGCCGTGCGCCCGCGTGCGCACCCGGAACTTCTCACGCAGTCGCGTCGTCAACCGATTGCGTCGCCGGATCCGCTGCTCATCCGCTTCGTCGGCCGCTTCCTCCCGGTTGGCCTCTTCCCGCACGCTCCGCAGCGCCGCAAGGCGCTCCTCCACGCTGGCGTCGCGCATGCGCCGCGCATTCAACGTGCCGTGCAGGTAGTTGCTGATGCGTCGGTGGCGACCATGGCTACTCTCGACTGTTGCCTCGGCGGCTCCCTCGGCTGCCGTCTCTGGGTGCCCATCGCCCAGGTCTTGTTCCTCCTCGCCTTCTTGCTGCGGGGGGTTGAGATCGATACGGCTGCAGGGGTCAGTAAATGTATGTCAAGCAGAGAGGCACAACGGATAGAATACATACCAGAGAGGACATGTACCCGACACATTCACCAGCCAGGGATCAATACACTCGGGGTGGAATTGATGGTTACACGGCAGCACGCGCAAATCCTGCCCCTTGACAAAGTCGTCCGTGCAAATAGGGCACGAAAAGTTCGGGTGTTCCGTCGTGGTCTCCGCCGCAGGAGCATCGCTTTGCTTTTCTTCCTGCGATTCTGTCGGGGGCGCTTCCGTTTGAGGCTGGTGTGGGGAGGTGACCTCCGCAGTCGTGGTCACATCTCGTTCCTCTAACTCATTGGCCGGCACCTCCAACCCCGAACCCATCTCAACATCCCCCTTGGGGCCAACCGACTTGCCGTCGGCCGGGGCGTTGTCCCCGAACTTGACGATCGGGATCGTATCTAACATGGCTCGCGCTATCCCTCGCGCTCGACTTTGTCGCGGTCGTCCCGCGGTATACCGAGGCCCATAGCGCTCCGGATGGCGGTGCGCACGCACCGCACCGGTAATAATGATGGCTAGAAAGAGGGCAGTGATAATACCTGTAATACTATACAGGATAATCATGGCTGTGGCAGATTAGCACATGCTACCGCGGCGATTAGAGGGGACCGGCATACCCGTGTTCGGACTCCCGGATGACTGGGTCTGGTCCTGGGTCGTTGTGGTGGGGCCCAGATACGACATGTTGGTGCCGATATAAGTCGTTCCGTTGCCTGGAGCTTCGAGTTGGGACTGGACTTGCCGATTCAAAGTCGGATTTACGATCGTAAAGACGTTGATATAGCGGTTGGCGGATGGTTCATCCGTCGTATAGTTGCAGAGCAGGGAGGTGCCACTATATAAGATGACGGCAAGAGCCTGCTGCTGTGCGGTGAGGACGTTGCCTAGCGTCGAGCTGGCATCCAGGTTCCCGGGATAGGCGGATGGGTCGCAACTGATCACCGCGATATCCTTGCGGCTCAATGACAGAGAGTTGGTGGCATCCACATCCAACAGAGTCCCCGACACCAGATATTGCTAGATCCATCAGTCTCGGGCACGGTGAGGCATTGACAGGGCTGACTAACCGCAAGTTCCGCCTGATTGAGATCCACCAGAGCCTGGGTCAACGGGGCGAGACGGACGGACGCTGGCAGGTGAACCTGACTGCTATTCAAAAGGAACCGGAGACCACCAGTCCACGACAGATCCCCAGAGTTGTTGGACGGCCGCACGGTCCAACCGGCCGTGTTCACTGCAGAGCCGAGGGACGAGAGGGCGAGCAGGAAGATAACGCGAGCGGGGAGCGAGCAGGTGGAGGAAGCAGCAGACGCAGCAGGAAAGGAAGCAACACGACGGAAGAAGGAGAATAAAAAGAAGAAAGGAAAGCAGATTGAAGCAGGATGGAAACGGGGAGGACCCATCGGCGAATCGCCCAGTTGATGATGCTGGCCGGCGATGGAACTTTCCCCACAGTGACGAGGCCTACGGAGACGGCGGAGGATATGGGGGACGGACGAAGATCATGAGCCACGGACGAGGATCGGCCCAGGACCAAGAAACCAGGAGGGACCCAGAGGCAGCCGAAGAGGCACCCAACTGCCAGTCAGCGTTTGGCGAGGACGGTGATATCACCCCCGTGTAGGAACCGGACGATCCGCGGCGGCTACAACGGGATTGGAGCGACCGTAGTGGAAGGGGGGCAGTGAGAGCAGTGAGAGGTTAGGGACGCCTCGTCACCAATACGGGCAAGTGAAGAGCGATTGGGGAGATTTGAGTTGGGGATTGAGTACCACGGAAGAATAGCTCTGGCGTGAATGAATGAACGATAGAAATCAGAAGGGGGTGGGTGAGTTGTGTGAGAGTGAGTGTGTGTGGATCGGATGCTCACAACTTCCAGCAAGCAGACTGGCTGCAATGGGGAATTAGCAGCGGCTGGCGATGGGGGAGAAGGATGATGATTATCCACCAGGGGAGGGGGAGGTTGGTGGATGGCTGGCAAGCTGCGCAGCCGGGCGATCCGGCAGGAAAAGCGACGGAAGAAATAAGAGAGTCAAATAATAGTGAATAATAATGCCACTGGGGTCTGTCAGCCTCGTTACTATTCTTACAAGCTGCGGCGGGTTGTTGGGTGAGAATCAATCAATCCATCAATCCATCAATCAATCAATTCAGTCAAATCCACCCGATGAGAATAACCCGTAAACGCTGCCTTTCCAACTTTTTAGTTCAATCAGGGGAGACAGCAAGCGAATACGAGAGGGTCGAGCAAGAGTGAGAAGCAAAGAGCAAGTGAGCAACCGGTGGGAGTTCCATGGATCGACCGAGCGATGCCGGTGGATGATGGATTATTCATCGCAGCGCCTCGGTCTGATTGCTTGCAGATAGTCGTGGCCGAGGATTTGCGGGCGTGATGGATGCTTGCGGTTCACTGAGAGCCGAAGGAAGGAAAAAAGTGGGACGCCGCCAGAGACAGTGTGTCAGAGAGAGAGAGAGCGCGAGAAGGAAACTAAACTAAACTAAACTAAAAGCAAGAGATAAAATGGAATAACAGATCGAACATTGGAGAATCCAAGGAAAAAGATGGGGCAGGATAAGATAAGCCTGGTCGCATCCACTTGGGGACTTCTTCCCTCCCTTTGGATTACTCGATTGGGGTGAATGACAGTCACTCACGATCGGAATCGCCGCCTACAACATTTCTTGGGCGGGAAGAAAGGAAAGGAATGGACCAGAAATCCAATGGCAATGAAAATCCTCCATTCCCCAGTGAGAATGAATGAATGGCTTTCTCAGAAAGAAGCTGCAACTGGACCGAGTGCGGGGGATCCTGGGCAACGCGCCGATCCCTTGTGCTTGGCCCAATTTTCGGACGGGAGCCGTTCATGGTTCCGGTGACTGACTCAAAAAGATAACCAGTAACTCCGTGGCTAACCCGCACTCCAGCAGATAACCAGCTGCCAGACAAGCTATTGTCAATCGGAGTAAAAGGCAGACGGAGATTGACTTTCCCAGTGATTGTCCCTATCCCTCAAAAGACAGGCGGCCCTGGTCAACAACACGCGCACAACAGAAGCATCAAGGATAATCTATCCCCCACACACACGCACACACACCAATTGATGGATGCGGCAGCACGAATAGGCAGCCAGATCACCGTGTGGCATTGCATCATTCATTGAACTTTGTTTTCCCGATCCAGCACCTTCCCATCAAGGGGTTCCGTTTCCAACAATGCAGAAGGGATGAGATCCCTCTCACCGCACCGCACCTTATAAAAAGCTAACAGTTGCGCTCGTGCATGGATGTCGTTTGAGAACGGAGTGAAGGATGTCCCCTCATCCACACCTTTTTTGGCTGCTGGTGCTGCTGGTGCTGCTGGTTTGAAGGTAGCGCGCATGGACCCTTTCGCGGGATGGGGATTTTGATTGCTTTTTCCTCGCCAACTCCGAATTCTCTCAACGTGGATTCCTCCCTATCCAGCCAGAGCAGGAGCAATTGTTCATGATGGTGTGCAGACGAAACCATCATCCGTCGCCATTTCACCAGTGATCGGATGATCTGGATGGGATCAGATCTGATCCCTTGATGGATGGCGATGGTTACCCATAACGGAAAAAGGTAGGTATGTCGAGCTGACTAACTTTCCCTGTCTTTTGACCGGATTTGTTTCCGTTTCTGTCCCGATCAGGAAGGTCCAAGAACTCATCCCCGTTTTGCTTCGCCGGTGATTCTCCGCCTCTTGAGGTGGGGGTGAATGGAGCACGTCCACCGTGAGTTTCATTCTCCAACGGAGTCTCCGATGCCGGAGCCCATGCGTCTCATCTGCGGGGGCTCGGCGATGATGCGAGTATGTCTGCTGTGAAGATGACGAGGCAGCTGGGGAACGAGCGCAAGATTGCATTGCATCTGACCCAAATCAAAGGAACTTGTTCATGATCTGCATAAAATGGCGAACACAATTTTATTCATCCTCATGCAGGGATTTCCTCTTTGAGCACTAGGGTTAGGGTCCCTGCCAGTCACTCGCCCCGTCCGGAATAAGCTATGGATTAGGCCGATCGGGGGGATCCGCCCATCCTCAGCTGTTCAGCTCGCTATTCTCCAGATAGCAAGCAACGTTCCTCCGACCAGGAGGAGGGCAGCAAAAGAAGACGGTCTCTGGGGTGCCCTCCACTCCCCCCCACTTTGCAGACTCGCTTCCTCAGCCGACAATGTTCTAGCCCATCTGGTCGTTGCGCGGATGGGTTGCTTTTCACCCACACCGTGTGACAGGTGTCACATCTCTCCTCTATCTTCTCGCTTTAACTTGCCATCCATGTCGAGCAGGCGACCAAGCAACAGTGCGTACTGTAAATAAGTAAGTTTCAGCACCTTGCCCGGGAGGGAATATAGTAGATCAGCGAGAACACCCGCCCATCCATCCATCCATCCACCCATCCACCCATCAATCCTGATCCGTCATCCATCCATCTTTTTAGCGGATCGTAGGGCGATCAAGTGGATTGTCTAGCAGGGTTGATGTGACCTGACCTGACCTGCCCTGCCCTGTCCTTTGCCTCCCACCCCCCACACACACGGTGGTCGCGTGTGTTGATCGTGCCTATTTAGGTGTAGATAAAAATGAAGGAGGAGAACAGACCACCCACTGAATCAGGGCGAAAGCAAGAACATACAAAGCATAATGCGACTCATGTTTGTTTTCTGCTTAAAGTGCGATCGGATCTCGCTTGCTTGAATAATGGAGGATCTCCTTTCTGAGCTGTGATGAGCTGTGCTGAGCTACTTTAGTGCCAGAGCTACCACCCAATTTTAAGCTATCCATGATAGCCACCATCGTCACTCGTTCCAAGATTGTTTATAACCACCATGTCACCAGAACCACTACTATCACAATTATGCAGGGTGGATTGAGTAGAGCAACTGACATGACATGACATGTCTGGAGATGGATTTTTACCTCAGGGGAACGTCCCAATCAGACCATAGGTGATTGAGCGCAGCAGCACAGTCTCCAAGCGGCGGCGCTTACCACTACCATCATTTATCATCCTCACTACTCTTCTTCCATTGGGGACGAAGTATCTACTTCAAGGCGACAGTAATACTTCATTGATTAAGGCAAGAGAAAAACATTACTACTATGGTAGACAACTAAGTAAGAAATAGGTACCGTAGCACCCAACCAGCCAGCACGGACGAACAAACCCGCCGCGAAACATATGACTATATCGCAACGGTGTTATTAGGGGCTCCCTCCGAGGATTATTCCCCAGTGCTACTTACCTACTTTCTCTTTATCACTGTGTATGTATGTATGTATGTATGTATGTATGCCACAAGGGTATGCTGGTGCTCCTACGGCTACAGCCGACTAAGGCCGTCGCCGCCATGCATCCATCCCTACCCTTCCCTACCTTTTTCTATCCTGGTGAGGTGGTTTAATAAGACGGTGGTATATCGATAGAGGAAGGATACAGCGGCAGCAGCAGCAGCAGCAGCCACCGCCAACGATTGGCAGCAGTGTCGGGGGAGGTGGTCTCGACCATGGCCACCGTGAGGCTTGTGACAGCAGCAGCAGCAGCAGTTAAAAAACTAACTTACTTACGAACTACCAAATAGCGTAGCATAGCATAGCATAGCAAGCAACACTTGGTCCGTGTGTTTTATTTCTTCCTTACCTTACTCGTCCTAGACTAAATACTTAAGGTAGTAACTAAACATCTATAGTACTATCATACTAAGTACGGGACCGTCTTTACCCACCTAGATAGATACTGGGTAACAGATAATGAACAAATAAAAGAATGGGACCACTTGCAAGCCTAATATAAGAGATTACATTCATATACATACCCAGTAACTAACTCTAACAAACCAAGCAAGTAAAGAAATAATTAAGCAGACATAACTACTAGGTAATAAGTAGTAGTAAGTTGCACCCGACAACCTGGAACACACATTCCTATCGACGGAACAAGCTGCCACCAATCTCCGTTGCTGATAGACTCCCGCAACTTTCCCTACTTACTTGCTTTACTGCCCATTAGATAGGTATCCGTAGGTAGTTAGATAACTGGTCAGTAAGTATGGATTGTACCGTACCAGCACCAGTGTGAAGCAATGTACACCGTAGAGCAAAGCAAGCCACGTACATCAGGTACCGCAATCCACTACCCGATTTAACAAAAGCTCAAGAGAAGGAATGGATGGATGTGGATGTGGTGGTGGCTTGGACGGATTCGCCTCATCCGACCCTCGGATAAAGGGGAGGGGGGTGGGAGTAATGGTATGATGGATGAGAGACAAAGATTGGGGGCTTTGTTCGTTCGTCTCGTCTTTTCTTGTTTGGATGAGATGGGAAGTTACCGACCGACTGGGTGTGTTTGCTGTCCTCATGTTTTCTTCTACTGATTGATTTTACTTGGGTATGGGTGCCATGGCTGAGGGTGGTGTTGGGGGTCAGAAGATAATTACTGTAGGGGTTTTTTATTTGCTGGGATGAGTGAAATTAGTACTGGTGTTGTGTTGTGGACTCGAGGAATTCCATCGGACTAGGATATACCGAGTAGGGAAGTTGGTAGTTGGTAGATGGCAGTGCAGAAGAGTGCTTAAAGGGGTAAATAGCTACTGAGGGGAGGAGAAAAAGACCGAAGAAAAGGACAGAAGTTAGTACTATAATGATAATAAGGGAAAAAGAGAGCAGAAGATAAAGAATAAATGAAACGGGAAAAAATTATTAACCAAAGAGTGAGTCCATTAATTTTAATAATTCCATGGGGGGGTAATTAATAGAGTCAATTAACTGGTAGGAAGGAAAATAAAAAAAAAGGGAGGGATGGATGGATGTGAGTGAGGAGGGGGGGGATGTTTGTTCATTGTCATCCAACCCATCACGCTCTAGCTCCAGGTGTCAAAGCTCAAGCATACTACTACTGTAAGTCAGTAACTTTGCTATCTTGGGGGAGAAGAAAGAGACGACATGACATGCCTAACTAAATATCCACTGGTTATAGTTCAGCCAAAGGGTATTGACTGACTGACTGCGGAAAATCCTACCCTACAGTAACTCCTACGACGTCGCTTTTCAGTCCCCACTTGCTCCTCCACCCCCGGCGCTCATGGGGAAGCAAAAGCAAAAGAAAGTAAAATAATAGAAAATAAAAAAATAAAAAAATCAAAAAAAACTAAAAAGGCAAAAAGGGCGCCAGGAAGCGCACAGAGACAAGAGGCAAAGAGAGAGAGAGAGAGAGAGAGAGATGCCATGTCAGGCCGGACCAAAATTAGCAGCAGAGGGAAAAAGATGGATCATGGATGGCGGTCGAGGGCCTGGAAGAGTTATCCCGCGTCCTCCTCCCCGCTTCCATTCGAGGGCCTCGACCGCTGGAGCCCGCGGCGAGATCCAGACTGATTGGCCACCACCGCCCAGGGAGGCGCGCCCGCTTCCCTGCTGAAAGTGGATGAAGCTGGTTGAAGGAGGGTCACTCTCTCCTCCCAGTCGAGGGCCGAGGCTCCCATCGAACGGAATTTTGGTCAGAAAAGTAAAAACAGTAGAATGGATCGGGGAACCCGGTCAGATGCTCTCTGGGAGGTAAGTACTTGAGTTACTAGTTAGGTAGGTATAGGGGCCGTTGCTATGTTATACCACCACCCTGCCCAGGGTTTTGAATTCTCACCACCATCACACGGGGGTGCGATCAAATGGTGGTGGTGTCTGTTTGGAACTACTGACGCCGTCTTCCCGATCAAGCACCAGAGAAGCTTGAGATGATTGATGTTTCCGGTGCATCTGAAATTTCAAATCCTTTCGAATTCTAATTGCGAGGAACACATTAGTTTTTCTCCTCTCTTTGCTATTTTTGTTTTTTTCTGTTTTCTTACTGATCCAGACAAGAAATTAAATAATATAATAATCATAATCCTAATAGTAATAATAACACATCCATCCATCCATCCATCCAACCCAGAGGAAGCCTAAACTTCCCTTTTTCTTCTCTTGTTCTCTCTCTTCCAAAAGGAGATAATCGTGGAAACCGAAATATGCGTAAAATAAAATAAACAGTTAAGAATAACAATGACCAGGAAAAAAGAAAAAGGATAAATCATCAGCTTAACATGGAAAAAATCAAAAGCCAAATAATAAATCAGTAACAATTGAGCCAAAGAAGGCACAGACAGTCTGCTCTGCACTGATCCCAGGTAACAGTAGTACTTTTTCCCTGGTCCTCTTGGGGGGATGTTTTTTTTTTTTCAATGTCCAACCCCCCTCTTCTCTCTCTCTCTTCATCCTTCTCACACACACTCTCTCTACTGACTACAAACTACTAACTACTATTGACTCTGTTGTCTTTCTCTTCTCCTCTTGTCTCCATCCTACCTTTGATTCCATCTCCCCCAGACCAAAAGTCCCCTTTTCTCGGGCGGGACCTCCCGCTAAAGCAAACGCGATCAGGATGCGCTCCACGAGGCTTTGATCGGTCAAACAATCCATCGACAGGGAATTCATTCATCGAAGGCCCCAACGAGGCGATCAGGAACAAATCTACCGCGCCATTCCTAGTCCTGCTACTCACTCATTTCGACTACCACCTTTGCTACCTACTTTGCTCCTATGCCTCCCACCACCACTCCCAATTCTTCCAATCTCTCCCCCTTCGCAGACCTTAGATTCAATTCCAATTTACCATTTCTCTTCCAATCCCTATCCCCTTTCTAATTCACTCCGTCTTCTCTTCTTCTTCCCGCCGCCTTCCCCCCAGTCTTAATCTGAAACCTCAACTGCAACTCCATTCCTTCATTCATTGATTCACTCATCCGTCCATCCATCCATCCATCCATCCACCATACCACTACTTCTCCACCTGCCTCTATTGTCCATTCCCACGCCCCCTCGCGCTAGATGATCGATTCGACACAACTTTAGCCTTCCCACCTTCTTCTCCCTCGCAGACGTCCTCCCCTGACATGCACCTGTCGGCTCACTCGACGAGACAGCGCTCGTCGTGCCTTGCCGTCCGTTAGCAGCAGCCCCCACGTCTGCCCGGCAACCATGTCCCCTCCGTCCCTCTCCATTCCGGCCACTCCTACCGTGGCCGAAACTCTCCATCTCTGGAAGAAACGCTTCGACAAGCGACATCTTTCCACGTAAGCCAATTTTTTCTCCTTGCTTCCCTTTCATGATTCGAGTCTCGTGGGGCCGTCGTTTGGTCGTGACTCGTTTGACTTCCCGTCAACCTTGTGTGTCTGTGTGTATGGGTGTGCGTGTGCCCGCGGATGATCTACACAGGCTCCATCCTCCATGATAGGATAGATAGTCCGTGCTTTAATACTCTTCCGGAATAGCGAGAGCACGGTGCGGATACAAGACCGTGATCGTTCGTCCCACTGACCTTCCGACAGCAACCCAGTCATCGCTACCCTTGATATTGAATACAACGAGCTGGTTCAATCATGGAAACGCTTCCAGGATAACCTCCTTCCCAACGATCGAGTGCTCTTCCACGAACGCCTGCAGAACCCCGACGATGTTTTGGACGTCGTCGCCAGCATCGAGCCCGTCTGGACGTCCACGTCGGGACAGCGGGTGTTGAGGGAATGTTGCGACGAATTTCGTTCGACGCTGGGCTCACACGGGAGGCTACTGGCCGTTCTACCAAGAAATGAATTGTACTGCTCTCTCTTTTACGGCGTCCTGCAATCTCTTCTGAAGGTGAGCCCGGATGTTGTTCGTATCCCCCTCCGCCTAGTCAATAACTAAACTCCGTGAGTCCCAGGCATCCGCGGGCTATCCAAGAATTTTGGAAGGGCTGTTCAAAGCATTGGTCCACATCAACCGCCTCATTGCCCCTCCAGCCTTGGGTGAGGCAGTGCCGGCGACGAAAGACTCCATCAACGCCATCAGCCGCTTCTACACGCTCCTATTCTTCTTTCTTGGAGAAGTGATGGACTGGTATGTGAGGAAGGCCAAATGCGGGCTCCTGCGGAGCCCCAACCAAGACGTGTATCGTGCCTTCCAACGCCTGATTGGCCAGATTCGACGCAGCGCCAAAAGCATGATGCACGATCTCACTGACGCCATGGATGTCGATGACGCCGACTGCGATAGCCTATGTGAAATGGCGCACGACGACTATCGGGGGTGGTTTGAGCGGGCCCGATTGAGCCAGGTGGGCCTTCAGAACGGGGCCCGGCGCTTCGCAGCGCAGAATGCCCTCACCCGTCAGTTGATGTGGGAGATTCACCAGGACGCAGTGGAGCGCAAGCGATTGTTGCAAGACAGAGAGGTTCTTCTGGCGCGACTGCTGGACACTGTTAGTCTACAGCTACAGTCCGTGAGTAGACAGAACAGCGGCATTGCCTGTTTGACCACAACCGCTTCCCAGGACTTAGGTAGGGAAGCCAGGCTCACATGGCCCGAACTGCTCGAGGAGCTGACCGTGCACGCATTACAAGACACAGACAGGTTCAACCTGATGAAAGGGGGGCACAAACACAAGTACACACGCATGGAATTGCAGATGGCTTCCCAGAAACTCGAAGACTTCTTTGATGCCGACGACCAGATCCCCGCGCTCGAATTCGACGTTCCAGTCATTGCCGAAGATAATGTGATGACCTCGCTGAAGCAATGGGCGACCGACGCCCACTCACAGGTCCTGGCCGTGGGGGGCCCCCAATCGACGGTCTACCCTAGTCCGGTACTTCTTGTCTCGACGTGTTACGCCAGCTTTGCTCGCAAGGCGGGCTTGCCTGTAATTTCCCACTTTTGCAACCGATCCACCGATGCTGCCAACGAATTAACATATGAGCAACACCTTATCGCCCTGGCCTACAGCCTGATCCGCCAGTTGATAGAATACCTGCCTCCCGTAGTCGAAAGTCATGCGGGGTGCGATTTGAGCGGCGAGCGGTTCAAGCCATTGAACGGAACGCTCACGTCTTGGAAGGAGGTTCTCTCGCTGATTGACATACTCCTGCACTTTGCGCCGCCCCTGCTGGTGTGCGTGATCCATGGGCTGGATATCATCCAAGATGCGTCGACAGATCCGTACATTCGCTCGTTGGTCCGGACCTTTCTGACCCACACGCGGCACCAGCCAGTATTACTGCCAAACGGCGAACAGAGCCAAAGCGTATTACTGAAGGTGCTGTTCACGGTGGCTGGTCGCCCAAGTTCGCTGGTGGAGACATTATCCGAGAACCAGCTCATTCTGCGGGAGTCGAACACGACCGAGGAGCTGGCCCCGACCGACGCCGCTTTGGACGCCGATGTAGGCCCACCAGTCATGATTGCATAGTCCATTCGAAGCTTTAGCGACGCCGCATTGCGATTTGAGTTGAATTGTTCTTTCCTTTCGGGTGAAAATTCGGGGTTCTCATAGAATTTCATGCAGGCTGGGAAATTTTTCTTGGTCATGTTTTGGATATAAGATGGATTGGCATGAGCCGCTGGATGATGCATTGCTGTGAATTCTTCCTTTCTTTCGTAACGTCACTTCTCCCAACTTAAGGGGAGCTTACACTTATGGTTTCATTCTGCATGTTGATGGAGATATTTTCTTGTTTGGGACAGGCACATCTCATCTATCTCGGAAGCACGGAGTATACGACTGGACCGGTTGGGTGGGAGCATTTGGGTGTACATTTGTAATAATAGCAGCTCGACGAGAACATGCATATACTACGGCTGTCGCTAGACTGATACCCTGAGTTGCAGTGGTCGTCCTGGGCTGGATCCGATTCTCTGTTGATTGTCATTTCCCCGGATTTGTGGGTGTTCTTGGCACCCTCGGGATTCATCTTCCGACGCAGTCCAGCTGCATCTCATCGTCTTCCCCCGCAATCGTTCTTTTCCTTTTCATCTGCCTCCTGGTCCTCCTCCTCAGCATCCTGCACGAGTCAGGCAAGCGAGAAGTCCCCACTGACCTCATCTCTTCCCTGTGGTGAGTGTCTGACCTGCTGTGCTCGGAATTCCACATTGAAGTGGATCCGGGATTGCACATCCGTCCCAGACATATATTTATTGACCACCTCCCCGCCCCAGCTGTTGGACAACGCAGACAACATCTACCGACTTACTTACAAACCATTGCTCCCAGCATGGGTTCCGGCGAACTTCGTGTCGGTCCTAACCGGCTCTTTCAACTGGAATCCGTCAATGTAGAGGATTTCAAGAAAATCTGCTCCCAGACCACCGATCCGGCCAGCTATCCGCTGGCCGTAGCCGTGCAGAAGAATATCCCCATCTATGATGCCGCCACCTTTGATCCCCTGAATGCAGATACCACCGCGGCTCTCCAAGCCGAATGGCATCACGTCCTTGAATCAGGACCGGGCATCTTTGTTCTCAAAGGCATGTACCATCCCTCCCGGTACGCAGACACCCTGAACGCCACCAACACGGCTTTCCAACACATCATCGATCGGGAGCGCCAGTCCCTGGGCCCCAAAGGCGATCATTTCGCGGCCAGCGGGAAGAATGACCGCATTTGGAACTCCTTCAGCAAGCACGCCTTTGTCGACCCCAGCTCCTTCATCACCTACTACAGCAATCCCTGGCTGCGTGCGGTCAGCGAAGCCTGGCTAGGTCCCGCCTACCGGGTGACCGCCCAGGTCAACATCGTCAAGCCCGGCGGCGCCGCCCAAGAGAGCCACCGGGACTACCATCTTGGATTCCAAGAGTTGGATCGATGTGCGGCCTTCCCGCGGAGCGTTCAGCTCGCTAGCCAGTATCTGACGTTACAGGGGGCCGTCGCACACAGCGAGATGCCGGTAGAGAGTGGTCCTACACGATTCCTGCCGTTTAGCCAGACATATGCTCCGGGATATCTGGCGTGGCGGCGGGACGACTTCCGGGCGTTCTTCCAAGCGAACTATGTGGCGTTACCGTTGGAGTTTGGCGATGGGTTGTTCTTCAACCCGGCGGTATTCCATGCCGCGGGGGCCAACGAGATGGCCGAGAGCACGGGGTTCCATCGCAAGGCCAACCTGCTGCAGATTGGATGTGCTCTGGGGAAGACGATGGAGCACATCGATGCGGTGCCAGTGGTGGAAAAGTGTTGGGAGGAGGTCAGTGAGATGTATCGTCGGCAGGGGGGGCTAAGTGCAGAGTTGGAGGCATGGGTATATGCCGTGGCAGATGGGTATCCGTTTCCCTCGAACCTGGATCGCCGGCCCCCTGCTCCGAGTGGGATGGCGCCGGAGAGCGAGCAAGAGATGATTGTGCGGGGGTTGCAGGAGGCATGGGATCGAACCAGGATTGTGGAGGAGTTGCGAGGGCTGCAGAGAGAGGGACGGGGACACCAGGAGGTGTAGTTGGTAAATTTGCATTCTGTTGTACGTATAGATAGCTGATCATAAACCTATGGGGGAGCAATTCTCTGGATGCAACCCCACCTCATGTTATTTCCACTGTACACTCCCACAAGACGAAGCTCAAGTAGGACAGCTGCCACCATGTGATCGACCCCTATCCACCTCCACCTCCGTTCTTTCTTACGATCAGACCAGTCCACACTTCCACCATGTCCGCTTCCATCCATACCCAGCATGCTGTCCTGCTGGCAGCTTCTCCAGCTACTGCTGGCCACCTCCCTTCCAGCAGCAGCCATCAACCTCACCGGCTATGAATACATCGTCGTGGGCTCTGGCGCCGGCGGAGGCCCTCTGGCCGCCCGCCTCGCCCTAGCAGGCCACTCAACCCTGCTTCTCGAAGCCGGCACCGAACAAGCCCACAATTTCAACACGTCCGTCCCAGGCTACGCAGCACTCGCAGCCGCAGACGACCATCTCTCCTGGAACTTCTTCATCCGCCACTACGCCAACGACACCCAACAAGCCCGCGACCCCAAAACCGTCTACACCACGCCCACCGGCGAACAGTACGTCGGCCTCCATCCACCCCCGGGATCCATCATGAAAGGCATCCTCTACACCCGCGCCAGCACCCTGGGAGGCTGCACCGCCCACAACGCCCTCGTCGCCATCTATCCCCATCGCTCTGACTGGACTTACATCGCCAACCTCACCAACGACCCATCCTGGCTCCCCGACCCCATGCGCGAATACTACGTCCGCCTCGAGAACAACCACTACCTACCCCCCGACATCCCAGGCCACGGCGACACCGGCTGGCTCTCCACCGAACACGCCCCCATCAACCTCGTCCTCCAAGACCCCCAACTCCTTTCCCTCCTCCTCGGCGCCGTCTTCACCCAGCCCCGAAATATTCTCTCCAACCTCATCTCTTTACTCCTCGGCGACGTCAACGCCAACTCCCCCTCCCGCGACTCCAAACCCGCATACTACCAAATGCCCATCGCCACATCCTCCAACGTCCGCAACGGCGCCGCAGACTTCCTCCGCGCCGTCCACTCCGCTACCAACCCAGACGGCACCCAGAAATACCCCCTGACCATCCGCACAAACTGCCACGTCATCCGCGTCCTCTTCGATACCACCTCCACCTCACAAGCCCCAAAAGCAACAGGCGTGGCCTTCCTCGACGGCCCCTACCTCTACCGCGCCAGCCCGCTCTCCTCCCAAGACACCCCCAGAACCCCTGGAACGGCCACCGCATCCCGCGAAATCATCCTCTCCGCGGGCGTCTTCAACACCCCCCAGATCCTCCAACTAAGCGGCATCGGGCCCGCAGATCTCCTCAAGAAACATCACATCCCAGTCCTGATCAACCTCCCTGGCGTCGGCGCAAACCTCCAAGACCACTACGAGACCTCGGTAGTAGTCGAAGCCCCGTTCCCCTTCCGTGTCCTGAACGGCTGCACATTTAACTACACGTCCGACCCGTGTCTGCTTCGATGGCTGAATCCGAACGGACATAAAGACCGGGGAATATATTCCTCTGCGGGGTTTACCAGTACTCTACTCCACCATACCCCCAACACATCCACGACACCCAACCAGAATATTGACAACGTCGACTACAATACAATGGTCTACGGCGGCCTCGTCAACTTCCGCGGCTACTTCCCAGGCTTCGAGGTCAACATCACAGCAACGCACCACTCCTTCACATGGGGGATTATCCAAGCGCACCCGTCTAGTAGAGCCGGGACGGTGAATATCAGTTCCGCGGATCCGCTTGATCCTCCACATATTCTATTCAATTCCTTCTCAGACCCTAACTCGGAGGAGGATTTATTTGGGTTAGTAGATGCGATCAGGGTTGCGAGGAGGGCACTAAAAAGACAACTTATTCCTACGAAGGAGACACTCCCGGGGAGAGAGGTGAGGGGGTATGAAGAGTTAAGGCAGTATGTATTGGATACGTCGTGGGGACATCATGCTGTGGGGAGTTGTAGGATTGGAAGTGGGGATGACAGAGATGTGGGGGCGGTGGTGGATGGGAAGTTTAGGGTGAGGGGATTGAGGGCGCTGAGGGTTGTGGATGCGAGTGTGCTTCCTAGGGCGCAGGGGACGTTTCCGGTGTTGGGGGTTTATATGCTTGCGGAGAAGGCGGTGGGAGATATTCTTGCTGAGGAGTAAGAGGGGTCTATTCGGGTTGCAGGTGGATATGTTAGGTTTGTTGTTGTTGTTGCTGTTATCCTCAGATATAATCACGCAGCTAAAATAGTATTATTCCTGCCGAGTCGCCAACAAGCAGTAAAGAAAAGAAACTCCTATCTCCTTCCCTAGTAGCACACACACTAGCGTATTTTCTAGTATCTACTTAAGCACAGGCTGTGCAACTTCGAAGTATAAGCCAAGCCCTGATATGAGATCAGAATTCTGTCTTTTATACTACTATCTTGAGTAGTCTTCAATTATAGGTATAAAGTCCCTACAGGAAAACACAATTTTTACAGGAATGGACATCTACAGAAGTCCTTACTACTAGGGCACTCTCGATATAGACATTGCGACGAGGGGAGTGAGGAATGCGGATGAGAATTATACTATGTAGTAGTCAATGAGCCCCTCGTGTAAAGGGACTCTTAGTAATTATAGAGTCGAATCTACTACACTTCGTATAGTGGGCATGGACTAGAGAAATCACTTATTGGACGTCTGTAGTAGATTTACTATATGGGGGTGATACCACTGCACCCGGCCACCTGTAGGTTTGTGGTTGGCATGAGGCTTGGGGTGTGGTGACGAAGGTGGGCCATGGGTTGGTAAAGTAGGGCTCGTTAGGGCCGTAGTTGGTTAGTAGGTGGGTGAATCTAACTGTTTGTAGTTACTAGCACGGTCTGTCTAGGGGTGAAAGAAGAGTAAATAAGAAAGGTGTTGTGAAAGAAGTGATGGATCCATGTGCCATCCAATGTAGGGTTGTCCTCATTAGGGTTTTACGAATAGGAGAATTAATTTGAAGTATAGGACATAAGTAACAACAATGAAATGGTAGTCTGGCTGGGTATAGTATTATGGATTATGTAACGAGGGATATCAGTGGGTAGTGCGTTGTAAACAAAAAAGTGAACACCAGAAAGAGAAAGACAAAGAGGGAATAGTAAGGAAAGAAGAAGTAAAGAGGGCGTAACAAGAGCTTGTGAAAGCAAGAGAAACAAAATCTCAAAGTGAGCGTGAGTATGAACGACTTTGATGTGGGGAAGGAGGAGATCATTTCTTCAAATTCTTCTTGATCTCTTGGTTGCCTCTCTGCCTCACATCCATGAGCCAATCTCTCACTCCCCGGCTACTATCTCCCACCCGGATTACACCGTCCCTCACACCCTTCCATCCTTTGATTGGCTGCTCCATCATTGTGTGGTTACCCCAGCACACCTTGGACCAGAGCCCCTTGTTCTGTGAGGTCCGATAGGTAGACCGACTTTTGTAGCAGTCACTGCAGTAGTCGGTTGAAGGGCAGTCAAGGCACATATACCACTTGGGAGCCTCCAGGTCCCACTTCATTAACTTCGGCTTATTGCAGGGCCCCATGCACTGCAGCATGCTGCCATTACTTTCATCCACGTCCATAAGCTCGTCCGGAATGGGCATGCTGTTAGGTGTCGTTACTGCCGTTGGTGGTTCGTTTGTGTCGTCACTGGAACACTGACAAGTGCAAGTGCTTTTGACGGACTGTGGGCTTAGTGGCTCCCCAGGATGGGGTGCTGGCGCAGTGGCGTGGCTGCTCGGGTCCACCTTCAACCCCATCCATCCATCGACAGCAGGCTTCGGCACGTCGCGAGCATAAATGGCCGTCGACAAAGTGTTTTGATATTCATCCTCACTGACTTGCAGCGCGTCTGCATTAGCACGATCGAAGATGAGGGACGCTGCAATCCCGGCATCCTTTGTGAGATTGAGCCAGTTTAGAACCTTTGCCAGTGTACGGAAAGCAGACATGTCGTTGTCGTCGACCCAGTCGTCCAAATCGGCAATGCAGAGCTTGAATGCTTGGTCGGCCAGTTCATACGCCCGTCTTAAATGATTCATCTCTTTGAACATTTTTGCGAGCGTTATGAGAGCATTTGCCTTGGCGGAGGATTCTATGACATCGGAAACCCGGACGTTGTTGATCAGGTCAGCTGCTGCATAACACAGAGGCAGCCTCAAATTGCGGACCTTGGTTTTGCTGAATCGATAATGGTAAATGTCGAAGCGCTCTGTGATAATAATACTGAGCAGTCTCGAATCCACTTGAAGGGTCTCGTCTTTCATCATAGCGTCCAGTATCCTGTTGAAGATATCTTCGGCCATCCTGATTGCCTGGCAATCTTCTCGGTAGATGATCGCAAGTTCCGATAGCATGACGCATGTTTCATGGAATAGCCCTTGATAAGCCCAATAGTTGATGGCACGGTCATAGATTCGTATAACGACTTCAATGTTGCCCGTTGCCACCGCTGCTCTGCGGAGCCAGTCATCCTTATTCGTTTGGCGAGAGCGGCTCATCAGCCAAGCGGGTATAAAAAAGTCGACTTTGCCGGACATCTGCTTTTCTACCGTATTGATGATAGATAGATAGTCTTCCTGCTCCGCATAAATTTGCACGAGGGTAGTCAAGAAGTCACTTGTTCCTCGGCATGTCTTGATATCGCTGTTTAGCGCGTCTGTGCATCTATCGCGGGCTCGCTTCTTATCACCAAGGGCCATGCAGGCTTGCACAGAAAGCATATAGACTCTCTTGCATCGATTTAGGTTGAAGTTAGGTCGTAACGCGGCATCTGAGTCTTTCCAGCATTTGAGAGCTTCCTCTGTGTACTCTTTGACTTTCGTCCACTCATCGATAGCGACAAGTCCGGGCTGGGGTACATAATGCTCGGCAAGTCCAAGCAAGGAATATAGCTTCTCCGCACACATTGAATCGTCCAAGTATCGGTTCTTCTCATACAGAAAAAGAGCATATTCTCGGTCTTGCTCGTTGGTGGACTCGTACAAGAGGAGGGCAGCGGAAAGTCGCGCTTGGGCAAACCGGGTCCGCCTGTCTGTGCACAGCCGAAGCATATTCTCAGCGACTCTGGTGTTGATCTGATCATCATCTCGCGACCAGTGCTTGTACTGTCCGGTCTAATTGAAGTTAGCTCCCTGGGAGTGGTTGTAGTCGGTGCCCAGATACATACATTGAACAGCGCACGATAGGCGAGCCTGTATGGACCCTTAGCGCCCTCAACGGTGGACTTCTGGGCCCAGCTGCGAAGATGGCCGTGGGCCAGATCTTCCAGCATTCCTTCAGGACGCTTCTTCAAGGCATGAGCCCAGGTCCATATCTGAGTCGGGAGAGACAAGTTCTCTTTCTCGTCTCTTTCGGTAAGCTTTTCTACCCAAGCCCGCACAAGTTCGTTGGTGCTCCTGGATAAGTCAATGTCATAAATATCAAAGTGAATCTGCCTGTCAGGCGAGTTCCATAGTATATCTTCAAACATAGAAGAAACGCCAGTTTCGTTCGTGAGAACTCTGCCTAAGGCTTCTCCGACCCTCTTCAGAAGCCGACTCTCAATCTCCCGTGGTTGCGTGGCCCTTGTGTCCACGTATTGCGACACCTTATCTTTTAGGCCTTTCTTAGCATTTTTGGTACTGGGCTGCTGCCACTGAGGAACAACGTCTCTGTCAATATCTTTTAGGTGCTGGATGAGGTGGAAGGCTGCATATTGACAGAGAGGTGTTGGTTTCTCCGCGTTGGGGTCGCAAAGAACGTCGCAAAGAGTGACAAATATATCAACCTTCTCGGCATTTACATTCAGTCCAGGCATGAAACTACCCTTTTTGACACATTCTCTGAACTTTGCGTGGCGGAACTCGATGTACTGATAATCACTGACGGACGGGGTGCGGCGACTTTTGCCCTTAGGGCTCTCTATCTCGTGCTCGGGTCGGGAACACCAATATAGTTCGCGGTCCAACTTCGAGGGACCTAGGTCAGGAGGAAGCATCTGCCGCATGAATAGGAGGCTATGAATAAATTAGATTTTGCATCGCGCTTTCCGGTTCAGCAGTACTTACTTCTGACACTGAGACAGGATAGTTTCTAGCCCCAGGGCCTTCACCTCTGGATCATTCTCAAGGGCAAGTACTTGATTCAAGTTGGTCACTGTGAGAGTCTGCTTTGCGAACGCGCACCAGAAAAGCACTTTCTTGACGGCCTTTCGAAGTGGCTCGTTTGATGTTGCCAGGGCATTCCTAACCAAGGCGTCTTCTCCATCACCGATCATCTCCTTGAATTTGCCCAAGCTCTTCGGACCTTTGACTCCATACTGTTCCATGATATCAATGGTCTGGTCCAGTACAGACAGGTTTCCTAGTAGCATTTGACCGCGTTAGAACAAATGAACTTCTACACAAGAAGAATCAGTCCGCTCACCGTCTGATAACTGCTTTAGGAAATCCGAGACCTCCTTGGTGACATCCGGATCACGTAAAACCTGTGAGAGCATATTCAACGAACTCATGCGTCGACGAATGATCTTGTCTCCAAGAGAATCATTATTCCACATGCTGATTTCGGGAATGGATGCTTTCTGCGCCACATCAGATGGGAAGAGCTCTCCCTGATCGTGAGACCCTGTCAGGAGGACCCAAATACGATGGTTTCGCTCCCCGAGTGTCTCATATAAGAGACCCAACAGGGATTCACGCTCTTTAGGCTGCATTTCCGAAACACCGTCCAGGAGGATGTACAACTGCTCGGACGAATGCGATCGCTTCTCAAATCGCTTCAGCACGAGCTCATCCCAGACCATTTTCGCATCGCGCGAGTCTAAGACAGGTTTGGTGGCTATCGCGTCACACCACTTTGGATCCTGGGCTGCAATCTGGAATAGAATAGAGGCCACAACGCTAGAGAAGCTTTGATTGTACTGCATGCCCGGCTCGAACAGAAAGTAAGTGACTATAAGTTGCTGTCGCACCGTTTCTTTCTGAACAAGGGTTTGATCTCTTCCGGCTATTGAGGGTATCAGCTGATAGCAATGTGCTGTTAGGAAGGTTTTTCCCACGCCATCACTGCCTTTCATGTATAGTAAAGGGCAGGTGCCGTGCGGGTATAGCCACTTTTTGAAAAGGTCATGCTTTTCAACCCACAGTAAACCGCCATCAATCAGCTGTGGCATAATGGAGTCCATCCGGGTGGCCATCTGAGATATCACTGTGAGGTTGAGATTGAGCTTGCTTTGGAGGGTTTTTGTCAATTTATCAAATACATTCCCCTTTTCAGACATGCTGTGCATATCGAACGAGAAGGCAGTCTGCTGCATCTTGGTATTGGTATTCTTGATCAGCCAGTTAACGCCATCCTTGATCTCTTTGGTATCATTGTATCCTTCGATTTTGATTGCTTTGTGGAAGCCCTTGATCGCTTGTTCAACCTTTTCACATTTACCGGTGGTCAAGTCGGTTTGCACTTTGAAGACCTTTTTTGCGAAAAGCGCTGTGGTTGAAGACCCCATTAGTTGCAACTCTTGAGAAAAGGAATGTGCACTTTGCTGTGACTTGAATAGACCTACTGAAACGTGATTGGCTTCGCAGATCATGCCCTACATAGGAGCAAAACTGCAACAAGGCGATGAAAACGCCCACTAGGCTTTGCTTAGCAGTTGGTGTGACGACGGGATATTTATCGAAAGTATCGATTTCTTGCATTGCAGCAGTGATTGTCTGAAACGTTGCCTGAACAGTGTTCAGGTCTGCGCTCACATCTTGGGCAGCCTACTTGGGATGAGCTATTCTGGTCGAAATTGGGTTGGTGAGACGGGGCAAAGGATGTTGTGGATGGTATACCTTGAGCAAATACGATATGCCCCCAGCGAGCAGCTTGGCTGGTTCGGCATACTAGCTTGGTTAGACATTTGAGCGAAATCTTTTCGAGAAGCCAGATACATACAGTCCCGCTTGCGTGGCCTTCGACATAAGTGCACGCTTTCTGTGCCCAGGACATACACTGCTGCACCGGCTCGCGTAATTTGTTTCCAAACTCCCGATCTTGGGGGTGTCTCCAATCGCGGAAAAGGGCCTCTGTTTGAGCGAGAGGGTCGCTCGCTGCCTGAAAGTCGGCCAGTTGCGCTTCTTCGGCTGGGTCGAATTTCAAATCTCCCTTTGCTTTTGCAAAAGCCTTTTCCCACAGCTGCTCCATCGACTCCTCGCCATACCCCGATCGTTCTTCGTCCCCATCTTTGCGATTCAGGAGCGTTTTGACGTCCTTCATTATGGGCGTATCCGACCGTAGAAGTCAGAGACCTGAGAAAAGCAATCCCACAGTCGTCGCGATGGGGCGAACTGAAATACATAAGACAGGGGGAGGCAGGTGCGGCTGAGCTGAACTTCGTCAGCTATCCCTATTCTCCCGGCTCAATCATTGCTCGATCTGAATCGACCTGCATAGTTAGAGGCACACTAGACGAACTATGGAGCACGGTAGGGTCCCTCATTGGGCCGATCGATCGAAGCTCAGTGGCAGAGATCCCGAGCGGGTGGGGACGCGGGAGATTAATCGCTGCCAGCTGACAGTGTGGTTCTTCAGCTCAAAAGCTTGCTGATTGTAGTGCTCTTGCGACGCGTGCACCTAGATTAACTTCTAGCGGAGCGAGTTCATCGAAAGTGACGAGTAAAATCAATATCACTTATGACGTCTCCATCTCAGCACGTACATCATGGAGTGTCCCATGGATTGGCATGTGTGATGGGTGGCTAGCGCGCATCTCCGGTGTTCTGACGATCAGCAAAGAGACCCACTGTGAAAAGTTTAGCTCTCCTCCTGGTTGGATCGTGATGCGGAGGCCCCGTCGCATGCTCCATGCTCCCAACATGGTCCCGGAATCATGGAACTGCAGCTGCAGGTCGTCTGTGGACTATCGGACAAATCAGAGATGTCCTTTGGTGGTTCTCAAGTCATGGAGATGTGATTGCAAGAGAGTGGTGGCATTGACACAGCGACGGAATTCATTGCCCCAAGGGGGGAATGATACGCTGCTCCCTGGCATGGGCCCCTTCAGTTCCACCAATGACAGGGATCCAGGAATTACTGTGTGAAGCAATTGCAGGGAAGGAGAAGGGAGAGACAGGTGAAGAAAGGGTAGACACATATGCGCCAAAACTCGTGTCCGCCATAGGTTCATGCAAGTCATGATAATATGACCTGGCCTGTTGTTGTTGTGAAGAGCGGTGGGTACACAACGAGCAAGTACATCGTTCGGTGCTAAACCTCCGATGGTCGGAAGTAACTACCTCAACATCACGTGTATTCAAACACGTGCCGAGATATCAGGTGATAACAGCCATTCCAGGCTATCCCCTTTTTGGCTACCGCTCCTCCGACCGAAATTGTTGATGGAATCAATTATTCATGGAATGATTCTCCCGACGGACCTCGCTTTTCCTTCCCGCGGATCAAAGACCGGCATCTTCTTTCGACATGGCTCCTACCCTACCTGGTAACTCGGGCACTTAGCCAGGCGTCTGCCACTACAGCTTCGGCCTTCCCCGCTCGAGAAAGGCTTCCGGCCTATACTCAGCCCGAGATAACTGCTAGCATCATAACACATACACAATGTGGCGCAAAAGAAAGCATCTTCAAGTGGAGAATGCTTTCAACTTGCCTATTTCAGGTACGCTGAAGCCGCAGGCTATTACAACAATCCCATTGGCACTCAAACTGAGAACGAAATTACCAGCGTGCGCTGCTATGTGCCTTTCCGCCCAAGGTACTGCTGGTGGGGCCTGGCCGGATATCTCGGTGCTCTAAGACTCACGTCGTCTGACCAACCTATCTCTGAACAAAGAGCAATCATCGACATTTCGCTGCCGCAATTGGATGCTAGTATAAAGCGTCGTCTCCAGAAAGGCTCTTCTATTCGAGTACCGCCCATATAGTTCAGTACTGTTATGGCCGCCGCCGCCGCCGCCGCCGCTCGCAGAGTAGCTGCCACAGGGACTTCTCAGGGTCCGTGAACCCTGAGAGTCCCTGAACCCTGAAGCCAAGCGCCAAGCGCCAAGCCCGTCCAGTGCCGACCTCAGCGCGAATACTTGCTGCGCGATTTGTTCGTTGTCGGCGACCAGTGGATAAACGACCTACTATGTACCCACTCGTTACTTTTTGTCATTGGATGGTCACTGTGTATTCTATATGAAATTTGCTATCCGGCTATGCCGGCACAGCAGACGCCTGTCTGGGGAGTAGCATATAAGAGGGCCTGCAGTCTCTGCAGTAAAGTTGGAGCTGTTGTGCCTCAATCGCTTCCTTCCTGCCATCCAGACCCCAAGCTGCTAGCTGTCCCTCTCCAAGACAACGCCCTCAGTTATGCCTTCCTGGATCGTCAAGCTCGGTGCCCTTGTGGCTTTGGCGCATACCGTCGCCGGATCCCAGATCTCCCTCAGGACGACCACGCCCCCGGCCAATGAGTACGTGACTCACTGCACTGTCATCCTCGATGATGAGCTTTTTGGCTGCAAGGGCAGTTCGAAGCCCTTCGGAAAGAAGTGTGGCCATAACAGGGGCATCGAGACCAAGTCTATCTGCGATACATCCTCCGTTACCGTTGATTGGTCGACCGCCCAGGTTACCTTCCAGGATAACAATGGCCACTCGGCTAACTGCACGCTGAGTTCGACTGAGGAGGGAGGTCACTGCAACACTGACGACCCGGATGAGTTCCCGATTGAGCACAATGGAGCAGAGAGACTCGGAGCCGGAGCTGCCCTCTGGGGTCTTGGCACCATGGCTGCTACCCTGTTTATCTGAACATCCTGAACTTAATGAACAGGGTAAGTGCTTCCTGGTTGAAGTGTTAGCAATGTCCAACTACTGCTGGCTACTGAATAGTCGACTAACAATTATCTATCTGATCAGGTCTTTCGCCATTTCCGTGATTACACTATCCTCATGATCACTGGCCCGGCTACCACACCATCGATACCGTTGAAAGCAAGTCTATTATGGATGCCGCCATCATATACCCACGATCTCCCGCACATATCTCTGAAGGGCAAGAGATAACGCAAGACCGAACTCACAGAGGCATTACTTTTTAATGCATATTTTTTCTTCTTCGCCTCTACCATTATGTATATAGATTTATTTCTTAGTCAACAATTAACGAGGAATGAAATGCCATACATACCTCAAGCTTTAGTCTGAATCCAGTAATTCTCTTCAAGTGCGCAGAAAAGTCTTCGGCACCGTATACCCGAGGGACCACTCACCCCCTCCCGGCCGAACACTTCCGACCAGTAGCCTAGCTATGGCGCTCGTTACCGAAAAAGAAGTTAGTTCGGTCAAGGTCATGCAATTAAGCGTTGTGGCTACCGCGTCTTGGCACACAGTCGGGGAGGGAAAGCTCGGCGCCCCATACCGCTTTGGGCAGGGTTTGCATTAGTCGGCTCTGAGAATAGCCTACGACTGGTATGAGAGGCTTATATGCAATTGAGTCATGTATATTTCTGGTGAGTATATATGGAGCTGGCTAGGCGTGGTGCGTTTCTTTGGATTTAGAAAAGCATATGCACTTGGATAAATCTTAATGAAGTAAGAAATTTCCGAACACCGAGAATGTTATCTCAACTGGAGTTAAATAATTAATTAGCTTAGCTATTAGGAGTGATGACTCGAGACTCATATTTTACTGTTGACAATGGATGTTCACTTATCAATTCAGGAAAGGAAAGCAAATTTCATTAACTGCATGATATAAACATGAATAAAAAGCCAAAAAAAACATCTATCCTAACTACAACAGGTCTATCGTATATATAATGTTTGTGAATCCCGCCAAGTCCCGCTGCGGGTATACAAGTTCCCCGAACTAATTCAAAGAGACATACTTCTTCAACCCGCACCAGCTAGACTCTCCCTTCCCCAGAATCACCACAGAAGCTATACATAAGCTTACAAAAGCGACGAAGAGCATCCAGCCATACCCATAGCGATACCAAAGTTGGAAAAGTGACCAGCAGTGACACCAACCTGGCCGTTACCCGCCGAGCAAGAGGTATCGCGCTCACCACTGCACTTGACCGTGCTGGCCTGAGTTCCGGAGCTGTAGTATTCCTGTAGCAGACCAAATGTTAGGAGGAAGTTCATAATAGACATATTAGGAGTAGGAAAACCTACGGTGCCATAGTGAACAAAGTCCCAAGGCCACATGACGTACATGTTCTAAAACATCGCTGGTAAGCATTGAAGGTCAGACTAGATAGGGTCAAGAGTAACTCACAGGAACACCGTCATCAGCATTGTTACCCCGGTTCAGGGTTCCGTTCTGAGAGGCACCAAAGTTGGCGAAAGCCTCGTTACCGATGGGGTAGGCCGCAAGGGCATTGCTGATGATTGTCTTTCCGGGGAAGTTCTGCGCAAGCGCGATGTAGGAGATGTAGGTGAGAGAACCACCGAGGGAGTGTCCGGTCGATTCAATGGTGTAGTCGGGGTATTGCTCGACCAGCGACTTGACTTCCGAGATCACATCATCGTGCACGGAAGACCAGGGAGAATAGATGCCGTGCATCATCTTGGCGCCGGAAGGGAAGTTGACTCCAGACAGGGTGGGCTCGACGAGGGTGGTGTCGACGTCGTTGGCGATGTCGGTTGCTGTAATTCTCAGTTTTGGTTCTTTCGTCAATGTGATAATAATTTTTATGTACTCACCGCTAGTGGAACCCCGCATGGCGACGGTTATACGCTTCTTCTCGGTGGAGTAACCGATGAAGCCCTTGTAGGTTGTTAGTAGACGTAAGCTGACTGGGGCACGGCACGTACTTGGGTATCAGTCACAAGCTCATTGATTTGCTTGGTGATGGTGACATCGAAGGCACTACCGGTACAACCGGTGTAAGCTGCAGAGGACAGCTGTGCAGCTCTGTGAAGTTCCGTCCATTCGGCCGTATCTAAAAGGTGTTAGGGAAGCGCAGGAGTAGAAGGTCGAAGATAGCTAACCGGAGGTGGCTCGAGACTGGAGCATTGGCACAGCCAAAGTCAAAGGAGTCAGGGCGAGACCGCCAAAGAGAGTGGACTTTCCGACACGCATGACGAAGGAAATGAAGGACTAGGATAAAGATCGGAGTAAGAAAAGAACGGTGCTACAATTAATCTCGAGTTTGCCGGTAAGGAAAAACAGAACCGTTCTACCCAACTTCCTTTTATAATGCTACATTCTCATCATTTCTGTGCCGGTAAAATCTTGATCGCTTGAAACAACACTGATACATCATCATAGGTAAGGTACCCCGGGAGAAAAAGCTTGAATCACCGGATCGGACATGACCCTTGGATAGGATTAGATTAGGGATTAAACTTCGAATCCATGTGCAGCAGTTACCCATGCACCGAGCTTCAAAGAAAATGGTAGACTTCTCTTGGGGTTGAGAACCATCAGTGGCTCACCAGAATTCGAGATGTTGATTAGGGCTTGCTCCGTTGTTTCATGATGGTCTGTAGTGGGGATCCGTTCGGGCGACCCAATTTTGAGCCCCGGGCGTTCAGTGGTCGGACCGCAGCCTTTGCCCTAATGGTGTAGCTGCCTAGCGCCCGGTAGATGGATCGCCAGGAGTATAATTAGAACCGTTTGATATGTCTCTTCCTCAATTTCTCTGGGAAAACCTCGGAAGGATGTTTGAGACCTCAACGCGGATACCGCCCCACCCAACTGTTTTCGATAGATGTTCGCCCGCCATCAGACTGAACTTTGACTGTCGCAGATCATTGAATCGGACGACAACTCCGCCATTGTTGTGGGATAATTGGATGACCTGACAACTGCCCTTGATGTACCGTGTCTAAATGCGGAGACCCGACGGTGGTTTGGATCAATCAAATATGATTATATCCGTTCATTGATACTAATACACTCGCCCCAGGCTATTCCCAACATTTACCCCAAATATCAGACTTCTGCGACAAATTGAAGTCACGAGGCAGGTGGTCTGTCTCACGGCTTCAGGTTAATGGAAAAGGGTATATCCGCTAAACTTCATTTCCCGGTGTATCCCATTCCGATTGGTAACCACGGGACTGTTAATGTTTGTTAACACGCATGAGATGAGACTGTCAGTCTGTTGATCCTCAGGACTGCGGACCGAATTTCGAGAAGATCAGGCCCCACAAAGTATGGCCACGCGATGATCATAGAAGATTTAGAAGGTGTGAATCATCACAATGGCACTGCTCATGGCCCACGTGGGCCTGCCAAATTCCCAGTCATTATTGCCGGTTTTTCCGAGAGGCCAAATTGCAGGGACTTGGTCGTAATCTCCCGTTCCAGCCAGACATGGAGCAAAACTCCTTGATCGGAATATGTATCTCGAGAGCGTGAACCTGGCTAGCTCCTAACGAGCCGTGGACTTGTTGAATAGATATCTTAGAGGGACCAAGCCGAGGTCTCCTGATGTGCCGTGCAATGTAGACGCAATACTTCCCACAGTTCCAATTGCCCTCTTCACGGCCAAAGCGGCCTTTGATTTTTGATAGATGCATCATGGTTTTCTCTGAGAAGTCAACGATCATTGATCTGGTATGGTTTGGCAACTTTAACCATTACATTGATATTCCTTTCTTGCAGGTTCTATGGTGTAGGTCGCAGGTCACGTATACCTACTCAAAGAATCTACACCCATACACCTCAGATTAAACCCAGTGAAAGTGACCTTTCTGCCTATATATTTTGGCCGGGAATCTGATCTGTTCCTGTCGGTTAAACTCGGAGTAGCATATCTTCCTGATACGGCCAAAAGAAAGTATGTTAAAGCTTACGAATAGCGGAGCATGCGCTAGCAGGTATACCGCTAAACACTCTTATTCATAGTTCAATACACATCACTCATGACCCATATACACGTTGAAGCTCGTTATGCTACCCTCATGTAAAGTAAGTCTTTACCTAGGTCTATGGTCAATCCCCTCCATCTTCACCACATACTTCAGACACCAGACCCATCTGACCTCTGCTTGATCTTTATGTCAAACTGCACCGGCTTGACAAACCACATATTGTTTGACCTCACGTCTGTACCACCTTCTTGCTGTATATCGATATCGTAGTCCCGAACGAGCTGCGGAATGAGTTTGTTAATCTCATACAGCGAGATATTCTTACCGATACAGGTTCTTGACCCGATGCCGAAAGGAACCAGACATTGTTCCATTATTCGGAGCTTCTCAGAGTCTTCGGTCAACCATCTCTCCGGCACGAAGTCGTCGGCATTGGAGCCCCAGATGCTCTCATCTCGATGGATGACCCAGCTATTTACTCCAACATTCGTCTGTGAAGCCATCAGCACATTTCTGTACAAGTGTGATAAAGGTACAACTTACACCCTCCGGGAAGAACCGACCACAGATAACAGCACCACCTTTCGGCACGATACGGAAAAGAGGGAACCCGACACCCGGATGCAGACGCATCGACTCCTTGATAACAGCCTGCAGATACGGCAATTTCTGAGTTTCCTGGAAAGAAGGCTCGCTTCCTAGACCAGCATCTTGAATTTCTTGTCGCAGCTTTTTCAGCGTCTCCGGGAACCGATACGAATAGAATATCACAGAGCTGAGACCGATTGCCGTGGTGTCACTCCCGGCACCAATATTGGATGCTGCGCTTGTCTGAATATCCTTATCCGTCAGGCCTTTAACATCCTCTTGCCGAGCATGAAGAAGCCTTCGGACCATAGGGATTAGCCCCGAAGTAGATGGATTCTTGAGATACTCTTGTGACAACTCTTTGAACTTTTGGGCGTTGAAACGAGCCACGTACAGGGCATCGGACGTCGCGAAAAAGCTGCCGAGGAAAAGAGCTAGTGGTCGTAGCCAGATGAGAAGGCCCACCAGGCTACTAATAACAAAGCTTTGATCCAGGTTGGCGATCAAGTTGTTGATATCTTTGCCATTATCCAGGAAACCGAATCGCTCACCGTACTGCTTATATTAGCACGGCTTCATCGGGATAAAGAAGAGAAATGTTGTTGTGTTGGAAAGAGAAGATTCAACACACCGTGATTTCGCTTATGGTATCAAAAGCAAAGCATTGAAGCCAGTGTCCTAGGTCCAAAGTCGACCCGTCCTTCGCAGTTGAGTCTAGTTTCGCGCGCAGCCGCCGGATGCAATTATCTACATAAGGCTCGTACGAAACTATAGCTGACATGGCGTACATGGCCGCGACCTTACGACGGGCGCTGGAGTGATCGGCCACATTTTGAACAGAAAACAGGTTGTGGTCTCTGGGGTCCGATGAGAAGTTCCAAGCTTCATACCACTCTGACTTGATGAATTTCGAACCATGAGCATATATGGTCTTGATAGCCTCGAGACCGGTAAGACTGTACCAGCCTGGGGCGATGCGCACAATTTTGCCTGTGAAAGACTTCAGCATCCAATCTTATTGATTTCCAGGTCTTGACACATACCATGATCCCGGTGCAGTCTGATATTGGTATACTGAAAATCGCCTCTCGTCATTTGTCTGAGATACCAGAGCCGAGTGAAGCGGGCCAGAAAAGGACCGGGAATGTCACGGTCAGAGGATAGTGCCCGTTTGACAAAGACCCACAGGAACAGGCCTAGAGCCAGAGCAGAGAAAGTAGGGATTGGAGGCAGGATCATTTTGAAATCCGGATATAGGACCAGACTAAGCTGTTGTGGGCAGATTCTTGATAAGTTTTTGTTTGCTTGGAGCGCCAGCCCACATTCTTATAAGATTGCCATGCATGTAGGCAACTGGTTCTCGGGTAATTCGGTCTCGGACATGATGACGACCATGCATGCACATGGCGTCAAGAATAGAGAAATCTAGGCGATTTTTGTCTCCTCTTACAGCTGATCTGCAGGGATATTTGCTTGACTAAGCGGAGCTCGGCGCTATGATCGGAACTTGCAGCTGGACGGGATCTTGCTATACCTCGAACATCGAACAACGAACATGGCTTTGAGAAGCTTCCCTGGAAATAGTGACTCTGGTAGGTATGTCAGAAGTTATGTTCTTCTCTCTAGGGTATCATTACAATCATATATGCTACCCTCACAGTTGTCGGTAGTCGTACTGGTCTTCGGAAGTGTTGACTGTTGACGTGGAGTATTCCAGATCAGGGTCCAACGCATCCCGTCAACAGCCCGTCAAGTGGCTCCAACAACAGCCAATGGGACGATGACGGAATAGTACTCCACGGCCACCTACTCATGATTGCACGGTAAGGCGGTTCCGGCCCGCATTACTTAGGCCTGTAACCAAGTAATCTCTAACGACTGCTGCAGGCAGCGCCTGCTGCGCCTTCTCGTTTGGCACCACATCCTTGTACACCTTTTGTCGACCATCCAATATCCCGTTAGTTAGTTCTTGGCTGGATCATCAATCTAAAAAGTACTTCATCTGATGCCTTATTCGATGCTTTAGTTATGTTACTAGACGTTCTTGATTTTATCCCTACATACGACTAGAAGAGCATCTGCGGCAGACCGCTGTTTGAGGCAACGATTACTCTGTACTTGTGGGGGTCAATAACACCTAGTTTGGATTAGTATGCTCACTATAGCGCTGGTTCTAATGTGGCCTTGTACCTCCGAGATATATTTGCGGCATCAGTCACCCAGTAAGTCATTCTTTCACGCTTATGTGTGACTGTTATGCTTACTGCCGAGGCGTCTTATTCATTGTAGCCAGGCATCACCTGATCCTTTGCCACTTCTGCGGCCTACGTGCCCGCGCCTCCACACCGTCCTGACAACCCAAACATAAAATATATATCAACAAGTAGACCCTTTCCCCTGCGCTCCTGTCTTTCTGAGTTATAGTACTCTATGCACGATCTATCCCAAAATTCGATCCAATGTAGCACTACTTCTTTGACACGCACCTTCCCTTAAATAAAGCTAAGAGACTCCACTTTTCGTACTGCGGAGCCTTGCTCTCAATTGAGAGATATATTTACCCTACAAACCAAAATACTGTCAAGCACAGTATTGCAGACCTGGGATGCTTTCATTACTGTGCCAATATGGCACCTGGAAGCCCATAATGGATTCCCTCAAGCCAGTAAACAAGAATCTACACACATTGAATCAAGAACCGACATCAGCGTCGACGAGCGCAGAGACCATAGCGGTCGAGAGAAGGGCAAATCGGGTGATTCTCTTCGATAGAACTTCGAGAACCAGTTCCTGACGAGTGCAGCATGATGATGGCTTGTAAGCAGCATTACATCCTGCCATTTCTACATTCATGCAATATGGGTACTAATACGCCCTAGGTTCGATTATGAATGGTAATTTCGTGGTAACAATATATTTTTCATATATAATGTCGGGTTACCTCTTCCCTTTAGACACTCATACAAGTGACTGGTTGTCAGTGCTTAATCTAATACCCGTCTCACTAAAATGAGATGGCTGTCCAACAAAGCCTCCGGATTAATGAAGAGCAGTGGGGCGTAAAACCAATATACACCTCCCCTTAAGAATTGTCTCATGGACTACATACTATATTCTACATTAGTCGACCAGAGAATGGCAATGTGGGTGCTTGTTACATTTCGCACGGAGAAGCCATTGACAAGCAACATCTTCTAGTTAGTTGAGAGAATTCACCAGCAGATACATAATGCAAAAGAGTGGCTCAACAACTGCGGCAGCACCACTCTCGGTTTCCGATGCTGTTAGCGATATTGCTTGCTTTCCCGTGGTCATGAAGAGATAAAGATCGTAGGATGCAACTCAGCTGATAACATGTGAACGCAAAGTATAAGGGAACCGAAGCAAAGCAGTTGACAATACTCTCTGGCTAAAGTTGCGAAACACTACTTACTGTCCGACCATGCTATTCATAGCTAGAAGACCTTGCATGTTACTAGTTTAGTTTCATGTATCGGAATATTACCAATCCTTCAGGATCACAGCCTTACCACACCATACCCCTGCAGGAATACCTGTTACACAACAGATGCAGCCACCCGCCCATTCATCACGATGACGATCTTATCCATCTAATCCATCTTACAGATATGTTCCAATCTAACCAAGATCCATTATTTACAATACCCTAAGATACAAAGGAAATAGAAAAAACACCAACAAAAGAAACCCTACCCATCCTGTCTAAAATCCTTCGACACCATAATCCCATGCAACGGCACCTCATCCCCCTCCTCCCCATTCCCCAACCCAGCACCACCCCCAACCAACCCATTCGCCCCCCTACTCCCCCTAATATTCGTGACCGTCAGGCCTCGATCATGTTTTGGCCTCAATACCGCATCCAACTTAATCTGCTTCTGCGTGACGCCCACGCCCCCCTCCTCATCCGGTAAATGGTAGAAGGAGTGACGATTAGCGCGCGCCGCAATGCCCGCTGTGCTGGCCGTGCTGTCCGCGGGCATCTGGCTATCGTCCGACTTGGAGAGTGGAGAGGTACGACTGCGGAAGAGGGCAGGTACAAGGGCGGATCTGAGGCCGAGCTTTCGGGCGGCGAGTTGGAGTGCTGGACGGAGGGTGGGGAGACAGGCGGAGACGATGCCAGCGGACATTTCGATGGCGGTCCAGCCGACGGTTGGGGCGAGTGTGTAGCTTGAGTCGGCGGAGGTGTAGCTGAAAAGGACGGTGAACCGGTAGGCGGAGGCGAAGATTACGCTGTTTTTGTTGGTGTTGAGTTAGTGGGAGGATTCATCATCAACGAAGGATTCAGGGAGGGGGCATTACAAGAAACCCAGGCCAAAGGCGACTGTAAGAGCGATTTTCTCGGACAGCCGGAGCTGGAGCTTCCAGACTTGAGGGAGGGGAAGAAATAAGATGATGAGGTCTGTGGCGATGGTGGAGGTTGCATTGGCGATCCAAGTGCCGACCTGGCTGATGCAGTGGCCGGGGAGACTGGGGTACCAGAGTTTCTGGACGGGGACGCAGATGAAGATGAATAGGAAAGTGATGCAGATGACCCAGAGAATGACAAAGGTGCCGATGGCGTAGGCCCATTTTTTGAAGTAGGGAAAGCGGAAAATGCGGTAGTACATAAGGAGAATGCTGAGTTTGGTCCAGACTAGGTTGAAGACGTAGAGAATCTCAGCGACCACGAGGTATTTGGCAATCAGAATAATTTGAGAGGTAGGAAGCTTGTCAGCATGTATGCCCATGCCCTCGTGGATCATGCCAAAGATAAAGCCGACGACAATAAAGTTCCATAACTGGGTTGGATTGTTAGATGCATGTATTGGGGTGGTGGTGAGGAGGGAGGAGACCCTACCATCGAGAAAATAATCATCCAGTCATCCCACCATAATTTCTGTTTCCGTTCCAGACGAGAAATCACCCGTAAAACAACACACACAAAAGCCAACACCGTCACAGAGACCGTGGTGGCCGTGGCCCATGGCTGAAGATCTTCCTTCTCGCCCATCGCCCCGGACGGAGTCACACATACACACACGCTTTAAGCACCAGCGCCAGCACAGGGACAGGGACAGGAACGGGTGGTCCCACGCCTGCCAGGGCGCGAGCGGATCGATTTAATATAGCAAAGGCATTAAGACGGGAGAAATGGATCATGCAGAATGAGGAAAATCTTCAGCAGCAGGCCAGGATCCAGCAGAGGGACCCCACCCGGGCCAGGCGCCAGGCCACACACGGCTTCAGTTGCGGATCCCACACTTTCCCCTTCAGCAGATGGCAGCCGTGGCCAACGAATCATTCGCAAGCAATCCCCCCAGGTCTGACCTGTCAAATACTCATTATTCGAACGCGCGGGAACTGGTCCGACAGTGCCGGTCTGTCGCCAAGGCCACGCCAGCCCGGGCCGGTTCGTTCTAGTTGCGACCAATATTGGACTCCTTGCCTTCTAGACTGTTTGCCTTTCCACAGGCACACACGCCCGGATTGGAACCGGGGGCGACTCTCGAGCCTTAAATCTCGTGTCCCTCGGATTCCTTCCCGGTTGACTAGTTAATTAGTTTACTCGATAGAACTCCTTAGTCTAGGCACGCGACATACATCCGTCCATACATGAATGTCCTTCGTATCTACATATAACTCTAATCTACAGTCCTACTACTTAGTATGGGGTTTAGCGATGATGCGTTCGCGCTTATGCCCCATATTTCTGAACCATCTCCAACACCGCCGCATTGACTTCCCGCGGGTTCGTCGCATTCAGATAATGCGCTCCCTCTTGCACCAGCACCAATTTCGCCTCCTTGGACCTCGTGAACTTCGAAATCTGTTCGCTTGCCACCGTCGTCTGGAAAGGGGTGTCTTCCGTACCCTAAAGGATAGTAGTTCGTATTAGCCCCACCCCCAACCAAACCAACCCGAACCGAACCATTGTAAAGATTCTCTAATTGGAATAAACTCACCTGCAACCAATAAACCGGACACTGCACATCTCCCAGTCTCAACACCAGCCCATCCCTCGTCAACAGACACATAAGTGCCATGCGCACCTTATTCCGTCCTTCATCGCCCTTGTACACGTCCTTCAGTATGTTCTTCCAGAACCCGACCGTCTCTTCTGTCGCGCCCTTTCCAAAGCCAATGCCTCCGACCATCCCGCACCACACATCATCCACGACAAAGTCGGGGGTGGGTGTCGCGCTGCTCCATTTTTCCAGGAATGGGGTCAGCAGCGTCACGGGATCCCAGCAGCCCTTGCTTCTGGAATCAGAGGACTCGTAGTCCATGGATGTACCGAGGGGGAGGACACCGAGGATCTATTTCACCACCAATCCTTCCATGATTAGAACAACACCGAAGTATTATCACCAAAGGGGAAAAGTCGAGAAAATCATCGAAGCATTCAATGGAATATACGCACCCTTTCCGGCGCCAACAGCGCCATGCGCATAACAATCCACCCACCCTGGCTGGTTCCCAGAGTGAACGCCTTCTCAATACCCAGCTTATCCATCACCTGCAGTGCCATAATGGCCGTATCCCAGTAAGTGAAGTGTTCCGCGACATGGCAGTGAGTGGCGCCATGACCGAGGGGTTCGATAGCGAGGAGGTTCGCCGCGTTTGTTAGAGTCTCGTCGTTGAATTGGGGCTCGTAGAGAGAAACAGTCATGCACATGGAGTTGATGAGCACTACGGTCGGTTTGGCGGGGTCGTAAGTGTTGTTGTTGGTGAGGCGGTAGCCGACGTCGATGCCGCCCAGATGGGGGACGGTGATGGTGGTGGTTGCGGCCATTTTCTTTTCCCTTTTTTTTTCTTTCTCAATGTATGGTGGTATTGGTATGCGTAGAAGGGAGGGAGGATAGGTAGCACTCTACTCAAAAAGGAGGTGAAAATGAGGGGGGTAAGCTTTGGTGATGGTATCACGTGGGACCAACAACTCTGAACTCTAGTCAAACACAACTCAACTCAGTAGTGTCGTGTCAATCAATAGTCCAGTTCATTTCTTGGTTCCAGATACAACTTACCGCGCGGGCAAGAACCAAGGAACCAAACAAACGAAAGAATAACCTGTCAGGAGCGGGGATGGAGAAGACAACTCCTACCCGAAACTGACAGACAATGACAGTTCATTGAACGGAGAAGCTACCCTTTTCGGTTGGCAAAACCGGTCCCTGCCTCCATCTCCAACCCCAATCCTCGGAGGCTAGTTACTTCTAGCTACAAAGCAAAATAGTTTAAACCCTAACTATAACTCGCCTCACTACACTACGTACTGCTTCGTACCTCGGCCTCATCCCGAACGAATCCGAGACCCTACCGAGTCTCAACCGAGACAAAGGGATCCGCAGGGTTGGGTCCCTGCCACGCGCTCGATTGGTTCCTGCAGCACAGATAAACTTCTGATGGGCGTTTCGGACGCTTTTTAGCGGGTCAGCCACTATGCAGGGGGGAAGCAGAGGAGCCTGTTTGTGTTTGTCACGCTGGACACTGACTTGCAAATCTATCGTGTAACCAGTTCAGACAAGGGTATTAATTTTGATTAATAACGGTCGGAACAAACGGAAAGGAAAAGGACCATGGAACACACTCTCATGACAGGCAAACTTAAGCTTATTGCCGCGTGGTTGGTGGGGAGAGATATTCGTCATGGTGGGTTTACAGCTTTGCCATGTGCCGAGGCTTCCGGCATAAAGAAGATTTTTTTTATGATTATGAAACATGAAGATGGACATCATGCAATGAAACCCAGTTGACCTTGGCATCAAATCATACCATTACTCATAAGTAGCCTAATGCTATAAAACAAACCGATTATACCTTCTCCTCATGGGAACTGCTTCCCTTCTCTACCTCACCCCCAACATCACCCACCTCCTGACCATCTTCCACTCTCCTCTCTTCCGGCACCTTCGCCCACCCTATCTTCCACCAACTCCTCGTAAACACCTCCTCCATCTTCTCCATACTTCTTCCCTTACACTCCGGGAACCCAACCCCCACCCACACCGTCGCGAGCGTCGTGAACGCCGTGAACAGCGCAAATGGGCCCCAAGACTGCATACTCTCCGTCATACTGGGGAACCCGCGCGTAATCCCGAAATTGAGCAGGTTCTGGTACGTGAAAGCAAGTGTCACTACCGTGCCGCGTATCCGGGTCGGACAAATCTCCGACGCTGTGAGGGAGAACACGGGCGCCCAGCCGAAGCCGTAGCCTATGGCGTAGATGCAGATCGCGACAATGCAAACATACGAGGCGGCGGAAGGGGAAGCTGTTCCTGACGATGAGGGTGGGCTGAGGGCAAGATAGCACGTCAGGTACAGCAGACAGAGGACGTTGATTGTGGAGCCGATCAGCAGGAGAGGACGCCGGCCGAAGCGTTCCGTTAGGAACCAGGCGTAGAATAAGACGGAGAGGAGCTTGACGAGGCCGTAGATGGCGGTGAAAAGGAGGACTTCTGAATGGCCAAGGCCGATAGATTCCAGTATATCTGGGGCGTAGTAGGTAATGCTATTGCCTCCACTCATGATGAAGAAGGTTTGGATGAGGGTGACGAAGAGGAGGATTTTGCGGGTCGGTGGGTGGTTGATGCATTCGTGGAGAAGGGATAGGAATGCTTTGGTGGGAGTAGTCGTTGTGGCCGTGGTGTCGAGCTTGCTGAGGAGTTCGGCATATTCGCGGGCGAAGTACTCAGTGCTTTCGTCCATGCCGCCGCGCAGGCGGGACAGGCTGCGCCGGGCAGCGTCGACGTGGCCGCGCATCATGAGGTAGCGAGGGCTTTCGGGGAAGAAGGGGAATCCGAGGAAGAGGATGATGGCCGGGATGGATTGCAGGACGAGTGTGGTGCGCCATTGCCAGCTGGAGCTGTCGGGGATGACAAGCAACGAGGCGTAGTTGATCCAGTAACTGCCTGTAACGCCGCCCATGATGCTCACATTGTAGAAGGTCGTCATCATTCCGCGCAGCTCGAGGGGTGCAACTTCGGAAATGTATACTGGTCCTGCTGACATTCCCAGTCCAGACCCTAACCCGGAAAGAATACGCCCGACGAGGAGTTCAGCGAAGGACCCCAGGTTGGCGGCCATGAGAATAGCTCCGATCGAGTAGCAGATGGCGGCAGCGAGGATGACTGCCTTTCGGCCCCGCCGTTCCCCTAGTGGGCCTGCGAATAAGACTCCGACGGTTTGGCCCTGCATGGAGTTGTACTGGCTCAGTAAATGCACTTCATACTATATAGTGTGGGATCCCATACCAGCAGCATAGAGGATACCACCCAACCCTCATTGTTCGAAACAGTCGTGCTGGAAAGCTTGTCCCATCCAAAATCTGGATCCCATTGCTCCATCTGCATAGCACCCGAGATATTGGACGTGTTAAAGCCATGCAGACCACCGCAGTACGAGGCCCAGATGATCGCCAACCAGATGTAAAGTCCGCGAGCTGCAGGAGGGACTTGTTTGATGGCTTGGGGGGAGAAACCGCCGCCTGCTGCTCCCATATTGAACTGAGAAAGTAAGTTTTGGGCGTATTGCTCGACACCGAGAGATCCCAAGTTACCAGACCTGGGCTGCCAGCATGAGATAGATTGACAACACAGGCAGAGGGATCTACTAAATACCCCAGGATATCACAGCCTATGCAAACCAAGGCATGATCAGTCCACATCTGCAAGATGGAAGACATCAGCCAATCCAATCTAGCCGGAGGTCATCCCCTTCCTGCCAAGTCTGGGGAATGCGGAGTCAATCCGGGGCATATCTTGGGCTACTCCGGGTGGCCGGAGCTGTCCATGAGAAGCATTTCCCGCGCATTGACATGGTGCAATTGTGGTACCACCAATGAGGGAGGTGCTTCAGTAGGAACGCCACTCTTGTGGAACCTAGGGGATACCGTATAAGATCGAGAGATACGGCATTTATATAGGCGGCTGCCATTTGGACTCCACTCTGCCGAACGGACTTTGCAATCATGCCTAAATAGAGCTAACCAAGATATCATTCATAAGCTGGTTATGTAAAACACTTTCAGTCGTATGCTGTAAATGGGTATGCTCAAGACTACCTCTAAGACTGCCTTCAGGCTACCCCCAGGCCATCTCTAAGACCATCTCCAAGGCACTATCTAAGGGGAACCCCTAAAGCATTTTCTAATGCGTCATCTAAGGCACCTTGTACGGCACCTGCAAGACGATTACCTAAAGCACCTATTGGGGACAGCTCCAGGGGCACTAGGCGGACGCTACGAAGCTGCTACGGAGACAGGCGTCAGAGTAATTGAGAAGGTAAGATTAATACAAGTCTCAGTTTCCTACTTAGGTAAGACTGTGTTCGAGAGAATCACAAAGAGAAGACTCTTTCAAATAGGCTAGCTGTAAAGTCCGTTCGGCAGGGTGTGAGTCCAGTAACATTTGTCTTTGTATATAAAACCTTTCTGTACATTGAATCTATTTATCATTCTATGCAAAACCCCACTCAGCTGCGTACAGTAGCCTTGATATGGTTCAAGGCACTACCAGCCCGGAGCCACGGGAGCTGTCCGGCATGATAGCTGTGGCACAACTCAGCCTCCCAGGCGTCTCCATGGCGCGGAGTAACCCGCATGGTGACATTCTTCCCCGGTTGCAGCTCTCCATCTTCTACGCCAATCAGAGTGATGCGATCTCCCTCCTGCACTCGGTCGTAGTCAGCAGGATCAGCGAATGTGAGCGGAAGCATTCCCTGTTTCTTCAGATTCGTCTCGTGGATACGAGCGAAAGACCGGGCTATGATGGCAATGCCGCCGAGGAAGCGAGGCTCCAGTGCGGCATGCTCTCGCGAACTACCCTCACCGTAGTTGTTGTCTCCAACCACGCACCAACGAATGGAACGGTGCTTCAAGTCCCGGGCCACTTCATGAGTAAGCTGGACCTTGCGCGTTAGCGGATGTGTCGTATGGCCTAGCATTTGCGGGTCGTTGTCTAAGAATGCATTGGTTGCGGTGGTGAGCATGTTGTGGCTGATGTTCTCCAGATGACCGCGATATTTGTACCACGGACCAGCCGGGGATATGTGATCCGTCGTACACTTGCCCTTTACCTTCATCAGCAACTCCATGTCCGTAGCATTTCCGTGCTTCCATGCCGGGAAGGGCTCCAGGAGCTGTAGCCTGTCGGACTTCTCATCGATAATAACCGAGTAGGAGGAGCCATCTGACGGAGGCTCTTGAAAGCGATCTGCACCGGAATTGAATGATTCTGGCAATTCCTGACCTACAGGAGGCGTAAGCCGCAGTGGTTGAGATCCTTCCGCAGAGATACTGTCAGTGACAGGGTTAAAGTCCAGGCGACCAGCATAAGCAAAGGCTGTGACTAGCTCCGGCGACGTGACGAATGAGTGCGTGGCCGGATTGCTGTCGTGGCGCCCCACAAAGTTACGGTTGTAGCTGGAGATCACCGAGTTCTTCTCTTTTCCGCGGACATCCACGTCCTTGCGATCCCACGACCCGACACACGGTCCGCAAGAGCTGCTGAGGATCATAGCACCAGCGTCCTCGAGATCCTGCAGGATACCAGCCTCTTCGGCGGTAGCCCGAATTCTTTCGCTACCTGGTGAAACCAAGAAAGGAGTCTTGAACTTTGTTATTCCGGCCGCCCGGGCTTGGTTAACCAGCTGCCGAGCCTTGTCCAAATCCTCATAGGAGCTGTTGGTACAGCTACCCACCATGGCGTGGCTTAGGTTCACAGGCCAATCGCTCTCAGCGACCGCAGTAGACAGCTTCGAGATGGGATGAGCTAGATCCGGTGTGAAAGGACCGTTAACATGCGGCTCCAGAGTGTCCAAATCGATCTTGATGATTTCGTCGTAGTACTCCTCGGAGCCCTCATCTGCGGTGAGCAGAAGGTCTTTGACTGGATTTGCCACTTTCACAACATGATCGCGCGCAGTGGCACTCAGATAGCGGGCGATCGCATCCGAGTAGGGGAAGATACAAGAAGTCGACCCAATTTCCGCAGACATGTTGCAAATGGTAGCCATAGCTGTCGCGCCCAGGGTCTTCGTACCAGGACCGAAGAATTCAATGATGCGACCTTTCCCGCCCGATACACCGAGTATTCCTGCCAATTTACAGATGATATCTTTTGTTGATGCCCAGCCTTGAAGCTCGCCTGTAAGTTCGACTCCAATGACTTTCGGCGCAACCAACTCCCAAGCCATCCCCGACATTGCGTCAACAGCATCAGCTCCGCCAACGCCAATTCCAAGCATGCCCATCCCACCTGCATTGGGCGTATGAGAATCCGTACCGATAATCAAACCTCCAGGCCTATGTCCCAAAATTGTCAGTGATGGTAATTGCGGGCTTCATGTGGTAGACATACATCGCGTAGTTCTCAAAAATGACAGTATGGATGATTCCAGATCCAGGCTTCCAGAAGCCGATCCCGTACTTCTTCGAAGCGCTACTCAAGAAATCATATACCTCTGCGTGTTCTGTGGTCGCACGCTGCATATCTTTCTCCGCGCCATTCTCCGAGATGATAAGATGATCGCTGTGCACTGTTGTCGGTACCATTACACGCGGAAGGCCTGCGCTGATAAACTGTAGTAAAGCCATTGTTGCGGTCGCATCATGGCAGGCAACACGATCAGGGCGCAGCTCCAAAATGGTCTTTCCCCGCGCAATCTTATCAATGTTCCAACGACCGCTATCCGTGTCCAGTAAATGACTGTATAGCGTCTTTTCAGCTAGTGTGAGCGGACGCTTTGATCCCTGCTTAATCGCTTCGATGGCCCGAATCTGTTTGGGGTAGTGAACGCCTAGAATCTGTCCAACGGCCAAAATCAGCACCAAATGCTCTGGATTGAGATCGAGGTGTACTGACTGAGTTACCTGGAACGGTTGTCGCATAGCTCCGGGCTCCGTTCAGGCAGAGGGATTGGTATGATGCTTGCATCACCGGTAATCTTTGGCGACATCGCTGCATTGTGCTGGCTTGAGTATCGTGATATGAAGGTTAACCATTGAGCATAGAAAGTTACAAAGAATATTCCTCGAAAGCAGTCATGGTTCGCGTAGGTCAAGCTCTGTCGCCGGCCGAGGCAAAAGAGCGGGACTACTCCGGATCTGGCTTCGGAGCTATCCGACAGTGCGAAAGCATGCCCCGGGCTACTCCAGAATGCGGGATCATCCGTCGGATAGTCCGATTGTCTCCCCGCTTTTGAAGCTGGCCACCACTTCTATCTACCTTCTGTGGCGACCGTCTTGCCCATTTGTATCCTATCCCGTACCATCAATTCAATCGTGGGCAAGCAACTATGGCTATTAGACCAAACGTCCTCAGCGCGTTGCGGCGCTTCACCTCCTGTGATGTAAGATACACTATTCGGCGCAATTCTGGCTTGAGCTCAACCAATCCCTTCAGGTCGGCGATGCACTCGTCAAGCTTGGAGTCTCTCAGGGTGGCTATTTATCTGGCCTTAAAATGTACTCTCCGGATTTCATGTCACCCACAGCAAAGTTCCTCGGCCCGGCATACACAGTGAAAATGGTGCATGCCTCGGACAAGGTTTCGCCAACGCCAAAGGTTCACTTCGCCGATGCCATCCCCAAAGACAGTGTTGTATTTGTGTCACAACCCAAAGGCTTAATCAGTGCTTGTTGGGGAGGACTCATGAGCACTCGGGCTCAGAAACGTGGTGCCGCCGGAGTCATCATTGATGGCAAATTTCGTGATATCAATGAGCACCGCGAGCTGGGAATGACCCTGTTTGCGCGCGGCATTAGCATCCTTGGATCCAATACTTTCACTCGCTCCTCTGAATTGGATGTACCGGTTATCTATGAGAACTCAGAAAATGGAGGGCAGGTTGTCATCAATCCTGGTGATTATATCCTTGGAGATGCAGATGGGGTGGTGGTCGTTCCGCCTGAAAAGGCAGAAGAGTGTGTACAACTCTGCCAGGAACGCTTTGAAATTGATGAGGAGACACGGCGTTGCCTGGAACAGGGTGATGAAATAGGGAGCACTATCAAGAGGCTGAGGAAATAGACAGGTCCTGAGTTCCAGCTTGTTTCGTTGTTTCGTTTTTCAAGGGCAATATATCCCTTCTCGCAGACTCGTGATTTAGAATACATATTGGTGCCTCTATGAAATGTACCGGAATGTATAGTATATGAGAGACACACTGTGGTATTCGTTTTATATAGTCTGTCGGTTCCAGTCGACAAAAAGCCTTATGAAGTGGGAGCGACCGTAATAACAGGCTGGTGTGCTTTCACAAAGCCGTTGTGCCTGAGAATGGGTCCCAGCCCCAGTCTCCGCGGACAAATTCGGCGAGAAAGCTTTCCATCGCAGAATCAATGGAATATGTGTCTGTAGCATCCATACCAATCGGGTTGGAAAACAATAATCCAGGTTCTCCAAAGTCAAGATCCAAATGGTCTCCTAAGCCGGAAGATATATCAGTACCAGACTAGGGAGTACGCCCGTAGGATGTAAGTCGGGCCGGGATTCCTCACCTGTAGGGTCAGGAAACCCCTCATTGGGGAGACCTCCGTGCCCGTCGGGCTGGCTGGATGGGACTTCTGTTGGCTGAACACCCCGGGTACTAGAATATCCCGGAACCAAATTGGAATGGCCCAGATCAGGTTGACAGCTAATCTCAGTATGTTGTGTTTGTAGCGAGCGCCGCGTTTGCGGCGTAGAGGTCTGAGTACGGCTTAACTGCCGTATAGTAAGATCGACCATCTTGTCAAAGCTTCCCTTGCCATTACGTACGGAAGGCCACCACTGACCACCGATACTGAGGAGGTTGGAACAAGTCCGCAGGTCTCTTAATACCTCCGCAAACGGAATGGTGGCCTGAAGAGAGGGCGATGCCCAGATGCAGTAGATCAGTGTCGCGCCCGAGGAAAATATACCGTGGATGTTTCGCCAGTTGTAATAGAGTTGCTCCTCTGTACTGAGATGATCGTATATGCGTAACTTTCGGCTGCAACTTTGGTAGCAGTGCCGTAAAGCATTTGGTGATGGCGAACGGAATGTTTGGGAAGGTTGAAAGAGAAGTGTTACTGCTGAGTGGTATAGAATTTCCAACCGGAGTTTCTCATACTGGACGCTTTTTCTGTCTTCTTCTCGGTCAGTGGGCGGCTGTATGAGAGATGTCTCGGTTAACCATGCGTCAAGGTCAAGTTTGATCTGTGCCTGATGATTCTCAAGGTCATTCGGCCACACGAGCGGGCGAAGCTGTTTGGGTAAGTGATAGAAAAGGAGCTTTATCTCAGTTATGTATTGGTCCAGTCTGAAACGCCGGATAGACATTGTCATATGGGCCGATGATGGTGCTGACACGTTGAGTTTGCAATCTGCAAGACTAGACAAGTCTTCAGTGACATCTTCCACTTCGGGACGTTGTATGTCAAATGTTTCATCCCTGATCCCTAATGGACGGCCTTGGATGGTGGCGATTGTCCTATGAAATTGTTAGGCCCAAGCGCATCACGGGACATAAATGATTTCCTACCGATCGAGGGAGTATGTTGTGTAGAAAATAAGTCGCCTGACGGCTAGAGACGTTCTGGGAACGCTCGTAGACGGGCTAGGTTCTCGATGAAGGCCCAAATCAATACAATGCGACATTGCTAGATGTGCCAGTGTCCAGATATTGAGGCCAGCCGGGCAGATCATGCTATGAATTGCCAAGAGTAAAATACCCTGCAGAGATGTCACTGACACTGAGGAGAAGCAACTGGATGTTTCCGCTAAGGCCATTCTGTAAAATTTCGTCGGAGAGTAGTCAAAGTTTTTCTTGCGTGTTAGTACGGTTGCTGCCAGAGAGAACACTATGAATACATGAACCACGGCTGTGAAGACAGTTATCGGCGTAGACTGTTTGCCGCTTTCTTTATCAGCCATCCCGTTGTACTCGAAGGGTTCTAGCCCTTCCATCCACCCGTTGCTATCGTATTGGCCTGTAGGTTCCATTTGTGTACTCTCATACAGCGCCAAATACGCATTGATCAGTGAAGGCGCGTGGAGAACGGGATAGTCAATATGTATATGCTGGAAGTAAACTGCAAGTAATACTTCAGCTTCCTCAGGGGAAGGGAGTTCCTAGATAGATGATGAGAAGTGGGACTAGAAATCGAGCAGAGCGACGAACCCTTGCTAAGCTCTGGTACAGAGAGCGATATCCTTGCTTCAATGATTGGGAGATTGAGTGCCGCCCATACTTGCTGGTTTCACTGTAGGATGACGGGCTAGATATCTGTGTATCTCTATCCACTCCAATGAGCTTGGTGAACAGCAATCCCGATGAAGAACCCATGTAGTGCTGCTGTCGAGAATCTGAATGTAAAGACAGCATTCCAAAAGCATTTGCCACTGAAGAAGCTTCTGCGCGGGGGGTCTGATCAGTTTCTGGGTCCTCGACTAAGTCGTATGGTCGTTTTCTCGTGGCTGGCTTGTCGCGACTCTGTGTCTCAGTCTCCAGCATAGTGACAGCATTGCTACAGTCTGAAACCCCTGAACTAGACTGTAATGTCAATTCATTCTCACTCAAGTTCACTGATGGCCCCTTTGTCAGATCGAAGTCCGGGTTCAAAAGCTTGATCTGTTGTTCTAGCCATGCTATCCTGGCACGGCATTGTGCGATGAAACTGAGGTATCACAGGACAATTAGTGCGGCTGGGGACACAAAAACCACAGTTTTAGAGGACCTTACTCGCGAGGAATAGAGATGTCACGGTTCCGACCGTCAACATCGATACAAGGGACCCTCGCTCGCGCGCAATTGCTGCATGCGGGGATGCCGCCGTCACACTCCGGGGAACGTAATTAGCAAGATGCGCAGTCATAAGCTTGGCAGCATGAACGTGGGCCAACCTTGACACGTTTAGCTCTACACCGGCGACAGGCGATCCGGACTTTCTTCGGAGCAGGGGAGCCCGGGCGCTCTATGTCTCGGGGACTCATCTTGGAGATTTGCGAGATGATGTGTGCAAAAGCACGGTGAACCAGCGTAACGGCAACATGCGACCGGATTTGTGGGGGAAGCGGAATGCCGGGGGGCGCGCGGGTGAACTTTGGCTTGGTCGTCGGCACATGATTTCCTCCACACCGTCTTGGACCAGCTTCTTCTTTCATCTTCTTTAATACAGACCTGTCTATAGCAAAAGCCCCCCTATAATTTCGTTTAATGAGGTACTAATAGCCACAGTCTATGCTTTGGTTGCTTCATCTTTTTTGCATGATACTGCGGTCAATTTTTCCCAATTGCTTCCCTATGCGAAAACATATATATTGAGTACCGTTGAACAAGAATCTGGCGAGGTGATTCAAGATCTGAGGGTGAAAAAAAAAAAAAAAAAAAAAAAAAAAAAAAAAA